AGCGCGGAAAACGCCAATGCAACCATTTCAATCGCATCCCAGGTACACTGTGTTGTAGCATTACCTATATCTGAAATCTGGTATTTATTCCAATGAGAAACAACAGTTCAAAGCCTTCATGTTTACCATTACTATTTTGCCTTTGTCATACATCTCATGTAGATTATTTAAAGCATAACCCTCATATTGGCGATGAACCAGTTGACATAGAGGATTTGGTCAATATTGGAAAAGATTCTGGACCGTAAGTTCCTCTACTTTTGCTACTTCAATCTATTTGTTTCTTGTTTTTCCAGATGGTGTTTGACGTTGCTGGCTTGGTCAATCTGTATCATATTTGTATTTTGCAGATGTCCGTATTATATCACAAGAGAGGTTCATAAGGACGTGGACATCATATTTGCACCTTACAACTACTTGATCAGTAATGGGTATAGAAAGTATCTGAAAGTCAACTGGAATAATAGTGTCCTGATTTTTGATGAAGCTCACAATCTGGTAAGGGGAATGCAGATGCTGTGCATATATTTTCTTCTGTGTTCTCTGTTCATGATGAGCTCCTCGTTTCCTGGGTTTTTTTTTTTTTTTCTAGAAACACTCAGTTTATCTTTAAATATGCGCAGGAAAGTTTATGTGCAGACTCAGCTTCATTTGACCTTCCTTCTGTTCTTTTATCGGCTTGCATTTCTGAAGCACAAGAATGTGTAGAACTTGCAGCAGCAAGAAGGAATTCATTAAATGATGTGTCCATGAACCCTGAGAATTTTGCCATACTTAAAGGTCAATCTTGGGGACTTGATTTAGAGTACAATATTCTATTATACGTGAAGGAAACTGATATGTCTGTTCTCATCTATGCGTTGTTTTCCTCATGCAGGACTGCTTCTAAAGCTGCAGGAATTAATTTCTAAAGTGCCAATTCCAAAAAGGGATGAGGGATTTACCAAGCCTGGGCCTTACATATATGAAATGCTTAAAAGCCTTAACATTACTCACGAAACTGCTCCTAAACTCATTGGTACAGTTGAGGAGGCTGCAGCGTTCCTGGAAGAGGAGAAACAACGAACAGCAACTAATGGTGTAAGCAAACTAGAAATCATTGCTGACATGCTTAAGCTGATCTTTAGAGAAAATGGAAGTAACCACGCTGATGTCTACCGCGTAAGTTTTAAGATAACTGTTCTTTATATTCCTTTTGAATTTTCATATTAAATTGAAAAGAGGTTTATCTTTCTCTTGCACTTTCTCATTTGGAGACACCCTCTTTTTACTCCTGTCTTTTTCTTACAGTCTCAGTGTTTGCCCTGTGTTAGGTTCATATACAGGAGCTTGAGCAAAATCCTACTGATGTGATAAAAGGTAAATAAGAGTGGGATTGTCTTACAGCCCTTAAAGAAAAGCACTGTTGCAGTCCGAAAACATAAACAGAAGCTCCATTGCTAATATGAAAATACAAAAATCATTCTTGATCTGCTATTCCTGTGCAAAACTGTTTTTTGGACAAAAGAAATGATTTAATTTATTTTGTAGGCAAGGTATCAAGAACGCTTAGCTGGTGGTGTTTCAGTCCTGGGATTACCATGCTGGACATAGCAAAAAAAGGTGTTGGGTCTATTATATTAACATCGGGGACCTTGTCTCCCATGGATTCATTGGCTCAAGAACTAAAACTGTGAGTCGTATTGCTAATGTTTTCTCTCACTATGCTTGTCTATCTGCCTTATCCCCCAGCTTTTAATGGAATCATCTTATTCTGGATATTGCAGAGACTTTCCTGTTCGGTTGGAGAATCCCCATGTTATATCCTCAAATCAGCTATGGGCTGGAGTTGTAAGTACTGGTCCATCAGGGTACGTTCTTAATTCTAGCTACCGCAATCGCGATGTACCAGAGTACAAACAAGAACTTGGGAATGCCATTGGTAAGTGGTTTGTTATTTGGTAGTTCATTTTGGATGGCTGAATGTATCACTCTGACTTTCTGATGTCTAAACCGTCTTCTAGAATCTGGGGAGCTCTCAAAATTGAAGGTGCTATCTTTATAGTAATCAATTAACTAAAATTGTTTCTGCTCTGCAGTTAACTTTTCCCGAGTTGTGCCTGAAGCACTGTTGATATTTTTCCCTTCCTATTACCTTATGGACTCTTGTATTTCATTTTGGAAAAATGGGGTATGGACTATGGCTGTTGTTAATTTTCTCTGAGTATGATTTTTTTTTACTCTTTAGCTTAAAAAACCTACCGTTTCTTCATGTTCAGTGTCACAGAAACTCAATGACAATATGGGAAAGAATCTGCAAACTCAAGAAACCTGTCATTGAGCCTAAGGATTCCTCTCTCTTTCCTGCAGCAATGCAGGTCAGCAACGGAGGCCTCTGATCTATGTTCTTTTACTTCCTAAATACGAAATATGATTTAATTTAATCTTGTCTTTATTTTTGACATGGTAGGACTTTTCAGAAAAATTGCAAGACAGATCAAGTTGGGGTGTGGTATTTTTTGCTGTTTGTCGCGGTAAGGTATGTTTCTTCAACCTGTCTGTAATTTGTTTCTTAGTAATAATGATATCTTGTGTAGCATGATGGTACTGGTTTGATAGATAGGAAGTTGATAAGTTTCTCTAGTGTAGTTTATTCAGTATGGCTGGCGTCTGTTGTGTTGTCAGGTCAGTGAAGGACTGGATTTTGCTGACGGTGCTGGCAGAGCTGTCGTCATTACTGGGTTGCCTTATGCCAGAGTGACAGATCCTAGGGTTTGTTTGCTCTATCCTTTACTGGTTTGCTTTTTTTTTTGGGAGTTTCTTTCTCATTTGTTTTCACTTTTATTTAAACTGGCACTGAGAGTATTTAGCTTTGAATTTTATGCTGCTACTTGCATTCCAGCATTTTTTTTTTTAACCCATGTGTAAAAACAGGTTAAACTGAAACGAGATTTTCTAGATGAACAGTCACAACGTGCAGATGTCAAGGTGAGTTCAATATATATTTGACTCTTGACACGTCAAGGTTATAATATTTTTTGCATTTTCTAGGTTTCAAGATCAACCCTTCTATCTGGAAGTATGTGGTACAGTCAAGAAGCCGCACGGGCTGTTAATCAGGCAATTGGACGTGTAATCCGCCATCGCCATGATTTTGGAGCTATCATCTTTTGTGATGACAGGTTTTGTTTATACTATCTATTTTGATTAGTTCTTTGGGTGAATAGATAGTGCATGGAATATTTTAGTTAAAGATCTGCCAATTTCAGCCTTGAGATGTATGCTCTTAATTTGAGATTTCTCGCCTTAAAACTTTACTCACTATAGTTTAACTATTATCTCCAAATTGAATACATCTGTGCTCGATCTTGTTTAATTTATATCCATTCTCGTTTTTGTATGTACATTGACTATTGTTGACAGATTTGAACAGCCGTCCCAGCAATCCAAGATATCACTTTGGATACGACCTAATGTGAAGGTATAAGTTCTGCTCTGTCTTGCCTCTACCTTTTTATGGATTGTAAGTTTGGGTTCACCGGCTTTGCAGTGTTATTCTAGATATGGAGAGGTCATTTCTGACCTTGCTCGATTTTTCCGGATTGAAAGATCAAACTTTCCTGGAAGGCTTGGAACAGAACAAGAGAACAATATAGGTAATGCATCTTGCAGCCAAAAGATAACTTTCATTGGGCGTTACCATATATCATATTGCGAGCCCTATTATCTCCTGTCCTTTTTTTTCCTACGATCTCAACTATGTTTGTGTTGGGGTTTTGGGGAATGATATTATCGCTTATCTTTTATCCACAAGAACTATGTGGCCTCTCAGTTAAAAGGTTGGAAAAAAAGGAGTACAGTCAATAGTAGTAGCATGTTCAGTAGTTTTTCATAGCAAATGCTCTTATTCTTCAAGCCATATCAAGTATATGTTGGACATCCGTTGTAAGCCAAATCCTTTTCGATACAGTTTCAACATTGTTACCAATGGAATCAACCAAGGATAATCCTACACCAGTCTCTGGTCAGTGATTCATTTTCTTTCATTCCCATGGCTTAGGAATGATGTTTTCCCTTTTGCAAATGGTTATAGTGTGGATCTAACTTCGTCTCTTTATGTTGCAATTTTGCTTTGAGATTTGATCCTTTGCAGGTACTAATAACTTGAAAGACTTTGGAATTGCACAAATTGAATTGAGTACACTGGAAAAAATTCCTCCTGCGAATCGGGCATCACCATTGGAGCATGATGGAAATAATGTTAAATGGAAAGGCCTGACCATTCTAAAACATACGGGCAAGATACCTCGCATTGTGAAGGGAGATGTTATGCAAGGGTGTTCTTCACGGAAGACTAAATTAGTGGAACTAAGTGATGATGAGGAGACTCCGGTAGAGAGGAGATGTGAAGTAGTGGATCTAGAATGCGACAACTGTGAAAAGCAGACTTGTAAAACAGAAGTGCTTTCATCGAGCTCATGTTTCAACACAATGGGACTAATAAGAAAGCGAAAGGCTCCAGAGGGTCAGGGAAGTGCATCGTCATCAGTGTTGACAGTGAGAGGGAATGGAGGTGGTGATAAAAAGGAAGCAAGTGCATCTGCATTTTTGAGTCAAGTTAGATCCCACACACTCTTTCCATATTTTCTTTCGTGTTATTTGTTTACATTGGAAGTCATGTGCTAATGATCTTATTAGGCCAAGGAAAAGCTTAATACAGAAGAATATAAGAAGTTTATTGGATACATGCAAGCACTGAAGAAAAAGGAGATTAAGTTAGCAAACGTGATGCAGTCTATCGTGCAACTGTTCTGTGGAAGAGAGAGGGATCATCTTCTCATGGGATTCAAGGACTTTGTGCCAGTAAAGTATCGTCCTGCATATGAGGAATGCATTAAAACGAGAAAAAGAGAAGGCTGATGATCATCTTTGCTAACTCAAATTAACATTGTTACTCTGCTCTTGATTCTTTTTGTAAGTAATACTAACAGCCTGTCAAGTTGAGTAAGGCTTGCTGCGAAGAAAGCAATTTTTGTTATTTTTTTTTTTTGGTTTTTAAATTGCAATAAAAAAGAACGAAAGTTGCATATTGCATAAGAGAGTTAGTCGTCACTGATGGTCATCCTCTTCCTCAGCCTCTCCCTGGCGGCGCGAGTACTGAGCGACCTCACAAGGCCTTTCCTAGTGATCCTCTTCTCCTTCTCACGGAGAGCGATGATGAGATCCACGAATGCGCTGAGTATGAACTTGTGTGACTTCTTGTGGTTGAGATCGAGATAGCAGAAGAGTAGCTCTTCCAACAAGTCCCAATCCACTTCCCTTTCCCGCATCCCTAACTTGGACTCCATCATCTCGACCATCGATAGCCTGAAGTCCTCTTGCGGCTCATCGGTGTATTTAAGCACGGCGATGCAGTTCTCTGGCAGGACCAAGGTGGATCTGGAATGTCTCTCCCCGGAAGTTGAGGTTGTTTCCATGCTAGGGCTGCCCTCGGATGATGAGCCAGGGGGTGGAGATAGTTTCTCCATTCTCAGAGGCAGTTTCGGGGAGTCGTACACGGCAGGTGATCCCCATGTCCTCTCGAATCTGTGGCGATAGTGGTCACGATCATCATCACTGTCTTCTGATGATGACTCCCGTTTCTGCTTGTTTTTTGTCACCAAGGGGTCTTCATGCTCTACCTCCTCCTGGTCGTCTCTGATGCAGAGGGATTTGAAGTTCTCTTCAAGGAAACGATCAATGTCGGACAAGGTGGCGGCGTGAGCAGAGTCCTGGTAAACGTGGTCGTCTTTGCTGAATCTGGTCTTGCTGGTGCGTCGTCTGTGCTTGAAGGAGAAGGAGAGCTTCTTGGGATGCTTACCAAGCACCCAATTCTTTGAGGATGAGAATGAATTGGAAGACGAAAGTTGCAGCTTGCCGGTCTCTCGTTTGATCTTTGACAGGTAACCATGCAGCGATTTCTGCAATGGGTTTGGCATATCTCTCTCTCTCTCTCTCTCTACAAATAACAACTCTGCATGATACAAAAACAATCTCTCATCAGATTCTTTTTTAACCACCAATTCGAGGAGGGAGGGAGCGGGGTTACTTAGTCAAACAAAAATCTGAAACTGTTCAACGCTTTACGTTGTTGGTAATCCCATTAATTAATGAATTAGCAAGTTTTTTTCTTTTTGTGATAAATATGTTGCCATTAACCTCCAGATTCTGCATTGAATGCATCGTTGAATACACTAATACTAAACTAGGTGGAGTATTTGTTTTCTAAACTGTCTTGGAAGTGAACCCACGCGCTTAATCTACTACACGACGGACTTGATGATATGATAGACAGCCAAGCACTTGGATTTTGTAAGGCCCAACTTTTGAGGCCCAAGATTGGGGGTGATTTTGTTAAGTTTGTCCCACATCGCTCGTCAGAGTTTCGACGAACATTCAACTGGTGATTTTGCGCTTGGGGCTATGATGTATTGCAGCCAATGAGGCTCTAACCGAGGCGCGTCTATTGCTGGTTGAAAACTATTTCCAAACCCCACTAAAAACCCTACAATTCTTTAAGTTCCAGTTTATCTTAATTTTTATCTTTTGGTCATAGATAATAGACCCTATGTTTAGTCGTGAAGTTACAAACATATAGTTTAATAAAGTTGATAAAAATATGTACACATGAGAAACAAGAATGATGACGGAAAATGAACACACTCTCAGACCACAATTATTGGTACATATTTGCTTATATAAGAGTATACCTTAGCAAATCTTATGACTTAAGATACCACGAGTAGTGGTGGCCTCAATATTATATTATATACTCTTCTTCCGTTCTTTCTCGCGTATACTAGTAAATCCATATTCAGCGACCATTTTCATGATCAACTGTTTGGCTGCCCCAGTTGGCTGCCTAAGAACACCTATGCTGTTGTTGCGGAGGAACTTACATCCTCTCCTATGAGGATATCATTCATCCTTACTCCTGCTCACTCTCTGAAGATTTCTTATGGACCTAACCCTAAAACTACTCATTGCATTCTAGATTGCGACCCCAATAACTTGGGAGCTTCACTCAAAGTCCATTCATTGCTTTGTACTCTTAGCCGCTTGTGCTGCCAAAATTGCCATAACAGTCATATTCATAGGTATCCGGAGAAAAGGAGAGTGAAAACGTCGGTGTTGAAGATTCTTCACCTGGACCAAGTTACAACGATGAGTTGAGGTTTTTTCTCATGATGCAGTCAGTTGCTCTTGAATGGTATAGCAAGATCTACGTTTGGAGAGGGTATGATTTTTGTGTGCTGAATAAATAAATAAATAAAAAGTTTGTTGATTCGATTGGGTTTTTCTGTGGCTAATTGATCGAACTTGAACTGTATGTAGTCTTTTCAACAGGAAAAATAAATTAAAAAAAAAAAGAAAAAAGAAAGTAACGACCACAGTGGGAGTCGAACCCACGACCTTTTGATCCGAAGTCAAACGCGCTAATCCACTGCGCTATGCGGTCATCGTTGTCTGTTACATCTTCAACACCTACCTTAAACCAAAATTTGTTCATTCTGTTTTCTCCGAAGAGCGCTACCAGACATTCTCTCTCTCTATCTCTCTATCTCTCTCTCAAGTTCCAGGAGCTTGGCTGTATCGTGGGTACATCTGGGGGTTGAGAATTATCATCGATCTGTGCCGATTCAGCGGATCCGGTTTGATCTTCTTCGTACGTCCCGAATCTAGAATTCTTCTCGTCCTTGTGTGATCGATCTTCAATAGAGGTGCGTTTTCGGGATTATGCATTTGGATCGAAACTTGCGCAATCGAACATCTCTCTGCTTGTATTATTTTTTAGGATATATATATTTGTAGGTGATTAAGATTATCTCTGGTTCTTGTGTGTGTTTTGGCTGCAGAGCCATGTTCTATGGCACAGCTGTATGGGACCCTTGGCTTATAGTTGGGCAGATTATATGCCTCCAGTGCTCCTACTACCTCACCCTAGGACTCTTCACTATGGTCTTTCTTGGCCTTCGTGTTCCTCGCCTTAGTCTTGTCTACTTCTTCGATTACGCCACGCTCACTACTTGTACCCTCACTGGTTGGTCTGTAATGGCCTCGTTCCTCTTCTCTTCACTCGCTGGGTTCGAACCATTTTGGACTTCTTTTTTTATCTTTCAATCTTTTCTTCCCCCTTTTTTGTTTCTCTCAGTCATCTCATTGTCATTTGCAGGGCTGTGTACATGATTTTTCTGGTGGAACGGGCACGCAAATGCTTAGATTTCTCTGCAACTCTCTACATCATACATCTCCTCTTTTGCATCATGTACGGAGGATGGCCTTCCTCTATGGCATGGTGGGTCGTTAATGGTACGGGACTCGCTCTTATGGCTTTGCTAGCTGAGTACTTGTGCATCAAACGCGAACAGCAAGAGATTCCTATGGATCGATTTCGCTCAAGTAAGATGATCATTGTTTCTTTCACCGCCTGAATCTGCCTTCCATGAGTAGATATCTCAGTATATATATATATATATTTACCTTTTACTTTCTCCCAGTGCAGGGGTTTGAATTTCATGATTGGTGTATGAAACGAGCGATGAAGATTCTTGTGGGTTATCAGGGCAGGGCGGATCATTGAGCCTAGTCTTCTAAACAAAATTTGGATGTACAGACAGAATTAGAATTGGCAGGCCAAGTTCAGCCAGCCAAGTAACCATGCTGCACGTTGGTGGAAGGGAGTTGCAGTTTTTTAGTGACTTCAAAATTTAAGACATTGCAAAAATACGTTTCAATTTGTATGAAAAAGAATCACTAGACTCGAATAGCTTCCTGCCGCTAGTGCTTTCATGTTGCATCCTGAGTGTCCCATCCGAGTCCAACTTATATATCTGCCTCATTTTGATAGCTTTGTAATCAGTTTGTTTTTCATTCGTAGTAGTCTTTTTTTTCTTCTTTTACCACCAATTGAATCCTCAAGTCCAATTTACTTGGAGGTTCAAACTTGTGTAAACAACAAGAAGAAGAAATAAAAACGAAAGAGCAGAAAACAAATAAAAACGACGCCGCATTGCAAGTATAGACAAGCCAGATTCAGATCCAAATCGCCAACGCGCACTGGAAAAGCTGCCCCTTGTTGCATATTACTCATCTTCTTCGACATCTCTGATCCAAGGTGGTGCGTCCGATCATCTGTTTGGGCTTGCAAAGATGGTCAGTGACATGATCTCTCGTTTCTCCTTAGATATCTACCTCTGAGTGTTTGTTCCTCATTGCATGAAAATTCTGTATTCCTTAAGATTCATTCCCTAAATCGAACGCGGTGTATGCATGCTCTTATTGAGATATCTCTAAATGCGTGTTTTTCTACTATGGTGTTGCAGTCGATCAATGCTATTTTGTTGTTTTCTCTTGGGCACTACTAACTTTAAGTTTATGCTTTCTTTTGACAGCCTCTGAGGCTTGAAATCAAGGTAAGGCAATGCAGTCTCCCTGCTATGTTCTGCGGATTTGAATTTGTTTTTTTGTGAGTGACGACACTCTTTTATCTTTTCATCAGCGGAAATTCGCTCAAAGATCAGAAAGAGTCAAATCTGTTGATCTCCATCCAACTGAGCCATGGTAATTCTAGCGCATCCCTCATTGCTATACATCATTCTTTGTTTATATTGCTCAAGCAAACATTTTTTGGTTCTAGGATCCTGGCAAGTTTGTATTCCGGAACTGTGTGCATATGGAATTATCAGACACAGGTTTGTATCATCTGTTGCTTTTATCTTACTTGCTAGATAGCTATTCTTCCTCATTCTTCACTCTCTCCTCCTTCTCTATTATGTGTTAACCCAAAATCACCATATGCCTTTGCAGACGATGGTTAAATCTTTCGACGTCACTGAATTGCCGGGTATGATATCCACCATCTCCTTGTTTCTGGTTCGTCTTATGTTTCCCCACATCCTTCTGTGGCCCTTCTTATCTTAAGCTGTTGTGCAGTTCGGTCTGCTAAGTTCATTGTACGGAAGCAGTGGGTTGTAGCTGGAGCTGATGACATGTTTATTCGTGTCTACAACTACAACACTATGGATAAGATCAAAGTATTTGAGGCTCATGCTGATTACATTAGGTGCGTTGCTGTTCATCCTACCCTTCCCTATGTGTTATCATCATCTGATGATATGCTCATCAAGCTCTGGGACTGGGAAAAGGGTTGGCTTTGCACTCAGATTTTCGAAGGGCATTCCCATTATGTTATGCAAGTGACTTTCAATCCAAAAGACACCAATACTTTTGCTAGTGCATCCCTTGACCGTACCATCAAAGTGAGATTACTCACATGTTGTTTGTTTCATTTTATGAGAAGCTACGCATCTTTTCCTATATTTACGTACATCTTTTCTTACCTAGATATGGAATCTTGGTTCTCCAGATCCAAATTTTACTTTGGATGCACATATGAAAGGCGTTAACTGTGTAGACTACTTTACTGGTGGGGATAAACCATACCTAATCACTGGTTCTGATGATCATACTGCTAAGGTCTGTGATTAGCTGTCTTGCTTCTTTGCAAGTTGTTTGCTACATATGTGTGCTTGTATGTATCTCCATTTGTATTGTTTGTATATAGGTTCGTGCAGGGGTTTCTATTATTGTTCATAACTTTCTTCTGGAAGCAGGTGTGGGATTACCAAACGAAGAGTTGCGTTCAGACACTTGAAGGTCATACACACAATGTTTCTGCAGTATCTTTCCATCCAGAGCTCCCAATTATTATTACAGGATCTGAGGATGGAACTGTTCGCATATGGCATGCCACCACTTACAGGTAACTGTATTATGTCTGTACTGGAGCTACTATTGGTTTGGTCTTTACAAATTTCCTTCAATATTTTTCCTCCAACAATCTTACTTTATACTTGACATCTAGGCTTGAGAATACTTTGAATTATGGCCTTGAGAGGGTTTGGGCTATTGGACACATTAAAGGTTCACGCCGGTAAGTTTCTCAACTTTTACTATGGCAAAATTTATTTCCTACTAAAGGTAAATTTATCTTCACATAATTATTTCTTTGTGTGAATTTATGTTTCCTACATAATTCACGAAACGGCAATACTTTTATCTTTTTTCAGGGTTGTAATTGGTTATGATGAAGGATCCATAATGGTGAAACTTGGCCGTGAAATACCAGTGGCTAGTATGGATACCAGCGGGAAAATTATATGGGCTAAACACAATGAGATACATACTGTAAACATCAAGAGCGTAGCCGCAGATGAGGTTTGGGGTTTAAATGATGTAACACTATTACTTCTTCTTTTTTTCTTTGAAAATAATCTCATGCTTGGCAATGTTTATTTTCTGATTCTGAACCTACTTAGGTCACTGATGGTGAGAGACTTCCTTTAGCTGTTAAAGAGCTAGGGACCTGCGATCTATATCCTCAAGTAAGTAACATCCTTCTGATTGTATAAATTTCCACTCCCTTTATATAATGAAGGAAAATTGGTTTCACTGGCTTGTCATTCCTACCATTGTTGAAGATTTAATGGATATGTAGTGTTAACGTTTTTCTTTAATTTCTGTTGCTAGATAATTGGTTTCTGGGCAGTTTGACAGATAACTGGTTTTAGTAAGAAATACTCCCTTAATCATTCATTAATTTTGTAACTTTTTGCTTTTCAGAGCTTGAAGCACAACCCTAATGGTAGGTTTGTGGTTGTTTGTGGAGATGGTGAGTATATCATCTACACTGCCTTGGCGTGGCGAAATAGGTCATTTGGCTCTGCGCTGGAATTTGTTTGGTCATCTGATGGGGAGCATGCTGTCAGGGAAAGCTCAACAAAGATCAAGATCTTCAGCAAGAATTTTCAGGTTTGTAATTCCTTTTGGCACATTCCTTTTGCCACTTATTAACTTAAAGCTTTTGCTTTTTGTTTCTGATTCTGTTATCTGAATTACACTAACTTGTACTGACAGCCTTAATAATATGCAGGAAAAGAAGACTGTGAGACCTACTTTCTCAGCAGAGCGCATTTTTGGTGGGACGTTATTGGCAATGTGCTCAAGTGATTTTACCTGCTTCTATGATTGGGCAGAATGTCGGTTGATTAGGCGAATAGATGTTACTGTCAAAGTAAGTGTTTATATACCAGAAGTAGCTCTATTAGTTTCTACAGAAGAATGGTTCATAGGTTACGGTTTTAGTAATATTTTCATTGGGGAAATGCAAAAGAGTTCCTTATCTGGACTTTAAATTGCAAAAACAGAATACTTCCCTTTTCTTGCAACACTTTCTCTTATGCACATCTAATGTTTTAGTTTATTGAATGTTTCAGAATCTGTATTGGGCAGACAGTGGTGATCTCGTTGCAATTGCCAGTGATTCATCATTCTACATCCTTAAGTTCAATGTGAGGATTTTTTTTTTTAACGTCTCATATAAAGTTTCTTAGTTTATTTCCTTGTAAGGTACTGTTTGATACATGGTTTTAAGCTGTTTTTTTTACTGTTCTTCTTTAGCGCGACATTGTTTCCTCTTGTTTTGATGGCGGTAAACAAATTGATGAGGAAGGCATTGAAGACGCATTTGAGCTTCTCAATGAAACCAATGAGCGTGTTCGGACTGGCTTATGGGTTGGAGATTGTTTTATCTATACCAATTCTTCTTGGAGGCTTAACTACTGTGTTGGTGGTGAGGTAGGCTCATTTCTAGGTTTTTGTGAAGAACCCTTCTTTTTTTTTTTTTTTGTAAATGAAATTCATTACTCCTCTTGTTTACAGGTAACAACAATGTACCATCTGGACCGTCCTATGTACTTGTTGGGCTATCTCGCTAATCAAAGCCGGGTTTATTTGGTTGACAAAGAGTTCAAGTAAGCAGATTGTTATTATTCCTAACAATGTTTTGTAATTTTCTGACTTCTGTGTCCTCTTTATTGTTTGCAGCGTCATTGGTTACACTTTACTTTTAAGTTTGATCGAGTACAAGACACTTGTGATGCGTGGAGATTTGGAACAGGCTAATGAAATCTTACCTTCAATTCCTAAGGAGCATCATAATAGGTATGAGAGTGTGTTTTCTCGCACATTATGGTTATAGCTGGATAATGATGTTAGTGAATGCATCCAAGGTCAGGCAATGGTTTTAAATTGTTTTCTTAAATTCACAAATTCCTAATTCTCTGATTCTCAACTTCAAAAACCTGCTCCTGTTGTCAGCGTGGCACACTTTTTGGAATCACGTGGTATGATAGAAGATGCTCTAGAAGTAGCTACTGACCCTGATTACAGATTTGAGTTGGCGATACAGCTCGGTAGATTGGCAGTCGCAAAGGTTAGTCTGTAGGTTTTACCATATGAGAAGCTTTATTTCCATGAATCACCTAAATGTTGTTACTCAATTTTAAAAATTTTACAGGACATTGCTGTAGAGGCACAAAATGAGTCTAAATGGAAGCAACTTGGAGAATTAGCTATGTCCACTGGGAAGGTGACTGAAATTAATGTTCTAGGATTAGTGTTCTAGGATTCATACAAACGTAGAAGCTAATATGTGTTTTTCATTCACTTTCCTTGCTATACTTGGATTACTTAGTTGGGTATGGCTGAGGAATGCATGAGGCATGCAATGGATTTGAGTGGTCTGTTGCTGCTTTATTCTTCATTGGGAGATGCAGATGGATTGATGAAGCTGGCAGCACTTGCTAAAGAGCAAGGAAAGAACAATGTTGCTTTTCTTTGCTTGTTCATGTTGGGTCAAGTAGAAGACTGCCTGCATCTGTTGGTGAAAAGGTACATTGTTACTGTTTCCTACATCGGGATTAACAGTTGTTTACATTACATCTGTGCTGATATTTATTCTGGTTACAGTAATCGGATACCTGAAGCCGCTATGATGGCACGATCATACCTTCCAAGCAATGTCTCCGAAATAGTTTCATTGTGGAGAAACGATTTGACCAAGGTTAGTGGTAGACACTTCCGATGCACCTTCTGACTAAATTTCAAACCTTACCTTTTGAGATACCCGTAGTTTTTTGTTGATCCTGTTCAATCTGTATATAGATTAGTCCAAAGGCTGCTGAATCTCTGGCTGATCCTGAAGAGTATCCTAATCTTTTTGAGGACTGGCAAGTCGCCCTGTCCCTTGAAAGTAGAGCTGCAGAGACTAGGTATCTTCCAAACTTCGTTACGGAGGTTGTTAAGCACTTAATTATTTAGAGTCATGTGTTTACTTTTAGTTTGAATTTATACTCCCATATAAACATAACTCCGAAACTCAAATATTGATTTCATTACCATGCCAATTTGAACGTGTCAGGATCCTCAAAAACAAAATCAAAATTTTTGCTGACTTGTCATCTTTCAGGGGCGTCCATCCTCCTGCTGGGCATTACTGTAATTTTGCAGACAGAGATCGTACAACTTTGGTGGAAGCTTTTAGAATTATGCAAATAGAGGAAGAGGGGCGACTAGAACAAGGGGATGTTCTCAACGAGGTATGTGTAGTGTACATTACATTGCATTGAAGGGGATTGTCTTTTACTCCATATGTTCAATCCAATTGCTAGATTTCGAGGTTTGTTGGCCATAATCCACTTTGGTTGGATCATTAGATTTTACAGTTGCTGCTTCATATGCTTTGGACTGCCTTTTTGTTAACAGGTTGAGGAAGAGGGGGAAGAGGAGGAGGGTCATCAGGAAGAGAGTAGTGATGGGATGCAACAGAATGTGGAAGAAGAGGCTGTGGTGATAGACACTGACTCTACGGATGGGGCTGTGCTAGTTAATGGGAACGAGTCTGAAGAACAGTGGGGTAAGATTAGTGAAGGAACCCCATAAGTCGTATTATAGCATTTGTGGTTTGTTTTTTGATTCTAAGATTCGGATGCACCAAAGCATGTGAGTAATTCTATTCTTAGGTCGTTTGGTTCCCTTGCATATGCAAACATGACAATTATATATCGTAGGGCTTCTGTTTGCATCTGCACATCATGTTTCCTCATCTGTCTGTCTCCCATCTTCTCTTTATAGATCATCTTAATTTTTTTTTTTTGTATGCTGCATTTCTTTAAGTAGTGGGTTTTCAGTTCCATTTACTTATATCAATCTATGGATTAATAAGAAACTTTTGTTGTTGTACAGTTCTAACACCACCACAGGAGTAGGGTTGGCGAAAACATACGTATATTTTTGGCTTTGAAACTTGATACATTCAACAGAGAAATGAGGGAAGAGAGAGAGAGAGAGATTAGTTGGCATTGTTGAAACTGATCTGTTATCTGCTTCCGCTTTGTACTTTAAATACAGCTATATATAAAACAAGATGGTAATATGGGTTTTGGGACTCTCTTATATTATTATTATTACGCCTTAACTGAGATGAGAGATTTCAGCTTCAGCAAGAGAATAATTTTGCCAACTGAAATGATCTCGAAACAACTTGTCTATAAGCGATGATAGATGATACTTCCGACCCAAACGTATATATGTTGCATTCTTCCACTGTCTTGGCTTCACTTTCCGGTCGCCAACACCATCACTATCATCATTTTGCCTCTACCCATTTTTCTTGGAAATAAGTTTTAATTATATTGTTGTTGCTTCAATGGCAACTATATATATAATAGGTTTAACGAGTCCATTAGCTAGCTACACTTTTTTTTTTGCTAAACTGCAAATATCATAAATATGAAAGTTTGGTTTTACAACCTTTTACATTTGTTTCCTTGGCAAAAAATTAAAACAAGGAAGACAAAAACATTAGATAAAACTCAGGTGTTGGAACCTATCTTATCCAAAGAGCCATCAGATTCTTGAAGAGTTTCCTGGATCTGCGGGCAGTGATTGCGTTCTTTATCTCACGATCTATGTTCTTAAAGATCACCGAAGGCGGGACGGAGACTTGATTATGATGCAGGTTGTTTCTTTGTTTCCAGATTGCATACACCACAGCTTGAGCCACCAGCTTCTTGAGGGTAGTAGGGGAGGAGTTGCTTCTCGTCTTGGTCCAATCGTTGAGCTCGGCCCAGGAGTTGAAGGAGAGTTGAGGGCTGTTCAGTCTTGCACCAACATGATGCCATAGGAACAAGGCGAAGTCACAAGATAAGAATAAGTGGCTTCTACTCTCGAGCTGCACCGAGCAGAGATCGCACGTTGGGTTTAAAGTCATTCCCCATCGAGACAATCTATCTTTTGTGGGAAGCCTATCCAGATTTGCCGCCCACATCGTGATCGCATTCCTAGGAATGCATCCTTTAAACCAGATGTTGTTGTGCCAGTCTACTTGATTTGCCCTTGGTCTAAGAGCAGACCAAGTTCTCGATGAAGAGAACCCCTCACAAATATGCTCCTCCACCACCCACCTATACGAATCCTTTACCGAAGATATGGCAGGGATTTCAATAGTGGTGAGGTAAACCTGAAGATTCATTGCGTTGTCCGTTCTAGGGTCTGCGAGAAGCCATCCTTCGATGTTACAAGCCTCGGCGACCTTAGCATTCAAAGGGATTCTCAAGCTTCTAGGGCCATCACTTCCAATGTATTTGATAAGAGGTCCATGAGGAGTCCAATTATCAAACCAGAAGCTTGCTAGTCTACCATCCCCTACATTGCACCTGATAAAGTTTACAGCAAGATCTCTCAATCTGAGAATGCATTTCCAGTTCCAAGTGTCTCTTTGTTTCTCCACTTGATTCCAGAAGCAAGTTCTGGGATTCCAATTGTGCAATTTATGCCATGCTACCCAAAGGGAGCCACTAGAAGAGAAGAGAAGCCAGATCATTCTGAGACAAAGAGTTCTGTTCAAAGTAGCATATCTCCTAAGCCCCAATCCTCCCTTATCTTTAGGTAGGCAAACTTGAGCCCAAGAAACCTTTGCCATCCCTCTATTATCAATCCTTCCTGACCACAGGAATCTGGAGCACAAAGATTCGATCTTCCTCAAACAACCCAAAGGGATAATAAAAGCTGATATCCAGAAGTTTACCAGACCCGAGATAACCGAGTTGATAAGCTGAACTCTACCCGCAAAAGATAAGGATTTTACAGCCCAGTCATTGAACCTCTTTGTAATCTTATCTAGCAGAGGAGCATATTCAGCGACTTTTAGCTTCCTACTCATCAATGGAAGCCCCAAATAGCGAATAGGAAGAACTCCCGTGCTGAAACCATAAATATCGATAGCATCAGTTTCAGCTTTGCTTAGACCCGCGTGAAATAACTCTGTTTTTTCTCTATTCATGTGAAGCCCTGACCATCCGGCAAAGTCATCAAGAGTCTCATGGATGCCGTGGAGGGAGGAAGATGACCCGTCAAAAAATATCATAACGTCGTCTGCAAACATCAAGTGAGAAATGTCCAACTCCTCAGTTTTAGGGTGATAAGAGATGTACCCAGAGGCATATCTGGAATGAAGAAGGCCAGTGAAAACTTCCATTGCCAAAACAAAAAGGTAGGGAGAGAGAGAGTCTCCTTGTCTTAGCCCTTGAGTGCTTTTAAAATAACCTCCATTTTGACCATTAACAGTGACTGAGAAGCTTGCAGTCGAAATACACTCAAAAATCCATCCCACAAAACGCTCAGGGATGTTTAGAGCCTTTAAAGTAGAAATGATGAAGTCCCATCTGATGGAATCAAAAGCTTTTCTAATATCCACCTTTAGCATAGCACGTGGCTCAATATCCTTCTTGTTGTATCCCTGAACAATCTCGGTAGCCAACAACACATTTTCTAACAATAGCCGGCCTGGCAGGAAGGCCGATTGAGCATGATTTATGGTGGAGGGCAGGATCGTTTTTAGCCGGTCCGCTAGAATCTTAGATATCACTTTATACACTGTGTTCAGGCAAGAGATTGGTCTGAAATCCGTAACCTTAGAGGCGTTTGGGATCTTGGGGATTAGAACCAGATTAGTGGCATTCCATTGTTATAAAATCTGTCCCGACTTGAAAAACTCCATAACCGCCTCAGTTACCTCTCCCCCAATTATGGGCCAGCAACTACAAAAGAATTCAGGGGTGAATCCATCTGGTCCGCTTGCTTTATTCCTAGGAAGAGAGAAGAAAGCTTCACGAATAACCTCAGGGGAGATAGGGGCTTCCAAGATATCTCTCTGAGTACAGGAACATCTGAACTTTAATATGTTGGAGATATCTTCCTGAATAAAAAGAGGGTGATCTTGAGGCTGAGCCAAAGTGCTCTTGAAAAATTCCACACAATGATTGTGAATAGCCTGTTGAGTATCAATTCTCTCACCATTACTCATAAGATAGTGTATGTGATTGATAGCCTGCCTAGCAGAAGCCATTTTGTGGAAATAAGCTGAGTTCATGTCCCCTTCTCCCAGCCAAGTAATTCTGGACCTCTGGAAAAAGAAACTTTCCTCAGCAGCAGAGAGGATTTGCCATTGTCTTTGCATCTCCAACTCATGCTCAGCATTTGCAGGAGAGGGAGATAGCAGGGTTGAGTTCTGAGCGGAGGTAAGCCTGAGATGAGCCTCTTTAGTTCTTTTCTCTATGTCTGAATAGTTCTCTTTGCTAAAATCTCTGATGACTTTTTTCAAGGCTTTTAGTTTCCAAGAGACTCTAAGCATTGCAGACCCAACAATATTGAAAAAGAACCAGTGCTGACCAATGAGTGGGAAAAAATCCAAATTCTTCAAGAGAAAATTGTAGAATCTGAATGGTTTCTTACGTCTTGGAGAAGAGGAGTCAAGAGTTACTTCACAGCTGGCATGATCAGAGAAGTCAGGATCCCCAAAAAATCCCAAAGAAGATGGGAACAGTGAAGACCATTTGTCATTTACTAGAATATGATCTAGTTTCTTGGCCACAGGAGCCCTCTTATGTTTATTCCACCAGGTGAAGGTGTTACCTCTGTAGTTTAAGTCCACCAGTCCAGCCTGAAGGAGAGTATCTTGGAAGAGACGGGTGGGTCTGTCCACATTAGGACTAACAACTGAGGAGTACTCTGAAGGGTGCAAAATTTGATTAAAATCCCCTAGAACGATCCATGCTTTGTCTGAAATATGAGGTCCAGCAGAGAACCGGATAAGCTCTTCCCATAGTACCTGACGAGCAGCATCATCATTAGCTGCATAAATGGTGGAAATGATGACAGCTTCAGCACAATCTGGAAAACAAACTTCACAACTGATCATCTGCAGAGACTTGGAGAGGACTTGGACTTTCACACTAGAGTGCCAGAGAATCCAAATTTTACCAAGGTCAGAGAAGTTGTAATTATTATCGAAAGACCAACCAGGCACCATGGTGTTAAGGAACTTCTGCTGCTTAGGTTGCTTCACATGTGTCTCCACGAGACTCCCAAAAAGTGATTGGTGGCTATTATGCCATTTTTTAAAACCACGCCGGTGAGAAGAAGAGTTAAGACCGCGCGTGTTCCAACAAAAAATTTCCGTATACATAAAAGATTATTTGGATTTGGGGCCTTTGCCCCTCGCACTTCGTTGTTGTCGTTGTGACAACACTTCCGTGAACCTCGCTTCATCTTCCAAGTCACTATAATCATCTTCAGAGTGATCAGAAGGAATATCAGAAGAATCAGATTCTTGCTCTGAAGATGAAGAAGTAGTAACAGGGCCCTTCTGGATAGCTTTTTCTTTTACCTTGTGACCCGAACTGGAAGCAAGCTTCCCACGCTTTTGGTCCAAAGGATCAATGGTTAAAGGCTGAGCAGGGGTAGAAGGAGTGATCAGGGGGATAGCTTTCTTCTTTGAGCCAACAACAACCCATTCACCTTCCTTTGGAACAGGTTTTGGTGTTTTAGACCGACGCCTGCGATGCTTAGTCTTATCTTTCTGAGGGGGAGCTTTAAGACGCGGACATGCATCCGAGGAGTGTGAGGTGGAGCTACAGTCCTTACACTTGATAGGGGCCGAGTTACATCTTCTCAAGCTATGTCCCACTTCTTTGCAATGGGCACAAATAGGGGGCATCCAAGGACTTGATACTTCGACTCTGCAAATATCACCGGAGCTGAATTGCGCATTTACTGCTTCTGGTAATGGCTTCCGCGGGTCGATGATGGTGAAGACCTTGGCCACTTCCAAGTTTCTCTTGCTCATGGTATCCGGATGGAGGTAAAGTGGATGACCAACGAGACTTGCAATCCTCGCGAGAGCATCATCATTAAAGAACTGTAAAGGGACTTTACGCAGCTCGAGCCAAATGGGGGCGGAGGAAAGCTCAGGTTTAGTTGGAGTAAGACCTGGCTCCCAATTAGCTACGAACATGGTCTGTCCTTCGATTTGCCACAGACGCTGATTGAGAACCCGGTTTCGAGTTTGGACATTTGGAATTCGAAAAAGGAAAGAATTTCCTTCCATCTTGGATACAGAGATATCTTTAAACTGTTTGCTCCAAATGCCATTAACTATTGTGTGAATCGTTCCTTGAGCCGGCGGATCCGAGTAGAATTGCCCAAGGATGAAAGATTCCCACGATTTCTTATGTTTTTCGATGATAGAATCAGGAATCTGAACACACGATTCGCCCGATGGGAGAGTAAAGGCCGTTCCTGATTTCTGAAGTCTCTTGGAGTTACCTTTGAACAGAGCACACCAATTTTCCACCTCTGTTGACGAAGAGGCCACTGATACTTCTGGGTTCACCGCAGCAACCTCAACGGGTGCGGTTTGCGCAGGGACTGGAGAGGGATTCGGTACCTTTGAGGGGATCGAATCAACCTGAGTTGAGGTAGATGGAGACAAACCAGAAGCTGCAGCAGCTACAGGAGTCTCAACATTCTGACCTAAAACTTCCGGACCTTGGCCAGGTCGCGAAATTGATTTTTGGGGAGTGACCGAGCTGGTTTGGGGGACCGCTCCAAGAACACTTTTGGCTGGAGAAGACTCGACAACCACTGGCGAGGAAGGGATCTGGGGAGATCCAGACCGAGAGACAGAAACGGGGGAGGGGGAGAGGCCCTTAGGAGAGGAAGAGGGGGCTCCTGAGGGGGATTTGCGGAGGCGCTTTTGCTTCCCCATGAGGAGGGGAGGGCCTGAAGATTCAGAATCAAGGAGGAGCCGGCGCCGTTGAAGACGCCGGAGATGAGCTGAGGAGCGAACCACCTTTGTCGCCTTTATCGCCTTTTCCTGGAGAGTTTTTTAGTACGGTCGTCAGCTAGCTACACTTGTTACATGCAAATGTGGAAGTTCACTCCTTTCAGAAACACATTTTAATTTTATTTTATCTTTGAACCCCAAGCTTAAAATTTTCTTTCAACAAAAATATATTTACAAATGTATCTTATAATTGAAAAAGTTAAAAGAAACCACTGAATTCAACATTTAAAACTTGGGTAATGTTGACAGAAAGAAAAGAAAAAAAAGAACTAATCCATTACCCATTTAACTCTGGCAAGGGAAAAGAGAAAAGTGTGTATTTTTTGACTTGGATATTCCCAAAAATTTGTCTCCGTTGTAGACTGACTCGCGGAAAGATACATAGAAAAAAAAAAGAATGGCATCATTCAATTCATCAGATTCGATCGGATCAAACGTAACACACAGTTTTTTAAAAAAGCCTGCGCTGCTGCTGCTGCGGACATATTTCATGAGTCCATAGATAGACCCAAAACCAGTCCAGGAAGGTTTCTCTCTCTCTCTCTCTTTGCGGATCTCTCATGAAACCCTGATTGGATTGGATTGGATTGGATTGGATTGGATTGGATTGAGTGACTCTTTCTCTCTCTCGAGAGAGAGAGTGGTTTCGTCAATTCTTAGGTGGCTTTCTCGCTCATTCGTTTTCCACTGATTTCTCTCTTCTATATCTTTCCTCTTTAGGGTTGGTTTTTTGGTTTGCCTCTCCGAATCTGCGGGTCCAGGTCTCTTATGGCCCCAGATGTCGTTGAAGATCCCGACTATGACAGTGATCCCGAGGAATTGAACCGCTCCTTGGCAACACGGAGGCGACAAGCTAGCGATGATGAGGATGACAACCTCGCCGGAAACCTTACTCATTCCGATGACCAGACTGGTATTCTGGACTCTGATATCGACGACCACGCCCTGCCAGAGGATGACCACGATTCTGAAGATCTTGAGGAACAAAAGAAGAAGGAACCTTTCGCAGTGCCTACTGCTGGTGCCTTTTATATGCATGATGACAGATTTCAGCCATTGGATACCGCCTCTAATAGGTTAACTCATGCATGAATCTCTTTCTCTTTAGCACACAAGTTACATGCTAATGCCAACTGATATAGATTTTGCTTTTCTTTGTCTAGGCGAATGCGTGGTGGCAGGAGGCTCTGGCAATCCAGAGATGAAAGAAAGTGGGGACATGACAAATACGAGCAAGTCAATACACACGAAAAACAATATGATGTACTCATCGTCTTAGTTCCTCTCTCTCCCTCCTCTTTTCCTCTGTATTTTTCAAACATGTCAAAGTTTTATCAAACACCTTTTCTTTTTTAAACACCAAAGCTGATTGGTTAAACTTTGTGAACATAGCGGAGGACTTCGAGAGGCCGAGTCAGAGGTCGTGGTCAGGGTAGGGGCCAGGAGCGTGGATATTCTCGAGGGACCAATTCTAAAGCACTTACTGGCAATGGACACCATAATCAGTTTCCTAAAGCTGTCACTAGAGATAGAGGTCCCAAAAGATATGAGGTTGCTTTGAGAAATGGCAATCAATCACCTTCTGTGCAAACCAAACTGTGAGTCCTTCAATTTTTTTTGTTTCCTCTCTAGTCAACACATGGAGGCCCGTTCTCTGACTTTAGTGTCTCGTTACTAAATCTTTAGGTCCCAAAATTCTTTTGTGAAAGTGTCACATGCCAGTTCAGGGCGTCCACCAACAGAAACATCTAGCTTAGAGACTGAAGCCACCCAAGCCAAAAAGAATGTATTAGCTTCTAGTTTAAACTCAGCTTCTCCTCCATTTTATCCTTCAGGATCCTCCAATAACTTGGCACGAAAGGATTTACAATCTGGCATTGGTAGACTGCACATTGATCAAAACCCTACGCCGTCTGGAAAGAAGTTTGGGAATACAAAATCCAGCTCTTCGTGGGTGTGCACTACTCAACCTTCTCAGATTACAAGCCATGGTAGAGATGCACCTCCTCCTGGGAAAATGCTTTACCAGCAATCTCCTAATCAAGGTGGCAAAGTTTCTTCACTGATGCACATCCAGGGAATGCCAAAAGAGACTGACCAAAGATGTACTCAACCTCCTGGTCAGGCTTTTGATCAACATTCTGCTGTTAACAGTTTGCTACCTTCTTCTCCACCAAAACCCGGCTCATCAGAAAAACAGTATATTTCTGGTGAAATAGAGTCAGCCGCAGAAACAGGTTCTTTGGTTGGCAAGGGGAAAGGGTCATTCCAGCCTAATGGAAGAGGATCTTTTATATATGGAGGGACACAGTTTATTAGGCCTGCTGGGAGCATGGCAGCTGGTCATGGCAATCCAAATTTTCCCGCATTTCTGCCTGGTAAGTTGTTCTTGAATACACTGTTCATTTTACATTCTAGTAGTCGTAAATTATTTTTCGGAATCAATTCATGCATGCCAATGAAATACAAAGTTAATTATGCTTTGCCACTTTGCCTGGTTGCCCATGTCTAGGGCGGGTTGAGATCAACGCCTTCTGTATGTACTAATGCTCATATCCATGCCTGACCATTGTAAAATTTTATGTTCATAATATTATTTTTTTTTCATTTTCATGTTCAGTTATGCAATTCGGTGTTCAGCATGGTAGGCTTCCGACCTTTGGAATGGCTCTTCCAGGATATGTCCAACCAGAACATGGTATCGGAAATCCTGAGATGACATGGTATGCACTGCAGTCCTTCTTTTGTACTGTACAGTACAATACATGTGGATGTTAGGTCTGATTTTCCATAGCGATACTTGTTTTGGAATTGTATATTCGGTGCGTTCTATCTTAGTTGACTTCCTATGCTTTTATGATTTGAGAGGATTTACGTCTAATTAGTCTTTGGCTGGCCCAAGTAGAACCAGAATTATTGATTTCGCTCGTCTGCTTTTTGTTGTTTGTTTGATTGTCCTAGCTCTCTTATCTATAGTAGTACCTCATTACTGCTATTATTTGCTTATATTATTGACAGGCTACCAATTTTGCCTGGCCCCGGAGCATTAGGAGGTTCATATTATCCACCTTATGCTGCTACTGATGGTTCTTACCAAGCACACACACCGGGGTTACCTTCCTCTGCTGGATCCTCCAGGTTTATAAAATAGTTCTCTTCATAACCTGTCACTTCCATATGCTTTATGTGTGGACTCTTAGCTTTACCTTGTAGGAAGAGTAGTATAGGAATGTAGCTTCACTTAAAGCAACCGTTGTGATTTCTCTTTTTCTATACCCACTTTAAAAATGTTTGTTACCAATTAGATTTACATGTCTGATATTTTTTGGTAAGTAGCGTATCTACTATGTACACACAGAAACATGTAGCAATTCATTAACAAGGCTCAGTTTCTTGGTTGGGCACTCCTGAAACCATGTCAATTTGTAATGATTATGAGTTTTTACTAAAGCATTTAATTTGGGCTTACTTACCCAAGTACTATATTTTCTGGCAGCCAAGAGACCAGTTCTGATAACCCTAATGATGAAGAACCCATGGAGGGACCTGGTAAGTTGTTTCCGTGCCATTTTGGGCTGAGACCAGTGCTTTGACATCAGTTGTTTGCAGTATATTGTTTAGTAGGAGGAAGCTACTATAGTTAGTTTTATGAGGAAATATGGAAGATTAGTTTCTCTGATGTGATTGGTACCTAGAGAAAAAAATATGTTCGATATGGTTTTCAAGTACTATTTACGGAAGTAATAACTCTTGCCAACCAAACAGGGTCGTTATCATGGATTAAAAAGAATTTTTGTTGTGTTTTGGGGAATTAGAAATTCGAACTGCTGCATTTTGACCAAATCAAAGAGAGTAGCAATTGCTAGGAGATTGATCGTTCTAGGTTTCTTGATGTAGAGGTTACAAACAATGGAAATTCACAACCACCGAATGGCAACCCAAACAAGCAGCCTCGCAGGTGAGTTTTGAAACTATCTCTCAGTTGAAGTGTTTTTTTTTTCCAGTTGATCTTACTTTTGATATGGAAGAACCTGGAAGTAGTATGGAGATGAGAACGTATTTAGAGGAGTAGCATATGTTGTGAAAGAGAAAGGTTAATCAATATATTAGAATAGTAACATGCACATGTTGACGGGGATGCAGATACTCGGAGATGAGCTTTAGCAAGTGAGTGCAAAGGGAGATCCTCTTGTTTGAATAAGTGGAGAAAGGAGGTGCGAGAGAAGCTCCTTTGTTGCGTGCTTTCTCACTTTGAGCTGCAATTGTTGCCTATCGTATTAGGTACGCACGCAATTATAAGTTACCACCACTAACACAAATTCAAGAGAGTTGAAGTTTGTAGTTAAAGAAGTGTAATGTGGAAAGGAAAGAAAAACATAATAGATATTGAGAATAAGAGATATATCAAAGAGTTGTTGATATGGATTTTGGACATTGTCTGTTGTTTTCAGGAGGTTGTTGTGCAATTATAAAGAGAGTTAATGTGAGAGCTTGAGCTGTGGGCATCGTTCATCTGTAACTTATTATTTTTTTGTCCTTTGGTGTTCTTTATTTATTTTATAATTGATAATTTGTAATGTTGTTGATATGTGTTAATGGTTTTGGTCTTTCAACTTTATCAAGCAAGGTTTGTATCTGTGCCCTATTTTGAGTTTTTGTTAATGAACTAAATTTAGGTATCACAATAAAACCCAATTAGTCAATTACTGAATTGTCAGTTTCATTTAGCATAAAAAGGTCAAATTAGCAACAAGAGGTGTGGTCTGGTCCGACTAAAGACTAAAACTAAAAAAGACAGTAGAATGAAGGGATTGACATTTTTCTTGCGTAATCTTAAAAGCGTCGTCCCCGAAACCGAAAATGGTCGAGATCGGTAATAGCGTCTACTCACCGTCCGATCAGTCTCTCTCGCCCCACCCTCATCTCTGCATCACGGTCGGTTTCTTCTCTTGGCTCCACAAATTGATGGACACCAAAGTATGTAATTTGCAATTCTCAATCGAATTTGGTTTTGTATAATTTCAGATGGAGGAGGAGGGGAGCGAGCAGGTGGTTGTGGAAGATGACCTTCCAATCGAAGACGACGACCCTGATCTCGGTATTGACCTCGACGACGACTGTGATGGATTGCTTCAGATTGCAGCTAACAACACTCTCGAGACTGAAACTGGAATTGGATGCGATGCGCCTCCCACTAGACCTGCTCCAGCTCCTGGGATGGAGTTCGAGTCGTACGATGATGCGTACAGTTACTACAACTCGTACGCCCGCGAGCTCGGGTTCGCTATCCGTGTGAAATCCTCCTGGACAAAGCGTAACAGCAAGGAGAAACGTGGCGCTGTCTTGTGCTGCAACTGCCAAGGTTTCAAGATGGTTAAAGAAGCCAACAGCCGTAGGAAGGAGACCCGAACTGGTTGCCAGGCTATGATTCGCCTCAGATTGATTGATTCTGATCGATGGAAAGTTGATCAAGTCAAACTCGACCACAACCACTCCTTCGATCCTCAAAGAGCCCACAATTCCAAGTCTCACAAGAAGAACAAGTCATCCTCCTCTGCTTCTGCTTCTGCTTCTGCTTCTAGTTATTCTAATACACAACCTCAACCTCCTCCTCTCCATGTCCAAGTCCGCACTATCAAATTGTATCGCGTTGTTGACACTCCCCCGCCTCATGGCTCTTCCACCTCCGCCGGCCATCCTTTCCACTCTTCTAGGCCTTTGGACCTCCCAGGAGGTGGTTTTAGGCACTTGCAGGATTTCTTCTTCCACTTTCAGCTTACCAACCCCAACTTTCTTTACCTCATGGATCTTACCGATGACGGCTCTCTCAGGACCGTCTTCTGGATTGACGCTCGAGCTAGGGCTGCCTACTCTCACTTTGGCGACGTTGTCTTCTTTGACACCACTTGTTTATCAAACTCCTACAAGCTTCCCCTTATCGCTTTCGTTGGTATCGACCACCATGGCGATTCCATCTTACTCGGCTGTGCTTTGCTTCCTGACCAGAGCTTTGACACCTACCTCTGGCTCTTCAGAGCGTGGCTCACGTGCATGCTAGGCCGCCCCCCACAGACCTTCATCACCCAACAGTGCAAGGCTATGCGGACTGCTGTCTCTCAAGTCTTCCCAAGGGCTCATCATCGTCTCAGCTTGACCCACGTCTTGCACAACATCTTTCAGAGCGTTGTCCAACTGCAACAAGATTCTGACTTGTTCCGTATGGTACTCAACAGAGTGGTCTACGGTTGTCTCAAGGTCGAAGAGTTTGAAACAGCTTGGGAAGAGATGATCATTAGGTTTGGGCTGACAGATCACGAGACCATCCGTTATGTGTTTCAAGATCGAGAACAATGGGCTCCAGTTTACCTCAAGGATACATTTTTAGCCGGGGCGCTGACTTTTCCATTGGGAGATGTGGCAGCCCCATTCATCTTCAGTGGCTACGTTCATGAGAACACATCCCTGAGAGAATTCCTTGAAGGGTACGAATCTTTTCTGGATGGAAAGTACACAAGACAAGCCTTGTGCGATTCAGAGTCCTCAAAGTTTATCCCCGAGCTCAAAACAACGCACCCCTACGAGTCTCAGATGGCAAATGTCTTCACAGTGGAGATATTTAGAAGGTTCCAAGACGAGGTCTCGGCAATGTCTTCATGTTTTGGAATAACGCAAGTCCACTCAAACGGCTCGGCCTCCTCGTACGTGGTGAAAGAGCGGGAAGGAGAGAAAGTGAGAGACTTTGAGGTCATCTACGAGACTAGTGCAGAAGCACAAGTACGTTGCTTCTGTGTTTGTGGTGGTTTCAGCTTCAATGGATACCAATGCAGACACGTCCTCCTAGTACTCAGCCACAACGGGTTGCAGGAAGTCCCGCCCCAGTATATACTGAGAAGATGGCGGAAGGACGTGAAACGTCTTTATGTGGCGGATTTTGGGTCAGGTCGCGTGGACATAATGAATCAGGATCAATGGTATGAGCATCTGCACAGAAAAGCGATGCAGGTTGTTGAACAAGGAATGAGATCGAAAGAGCATTGCAGAGTTGCCTGGGAAGCGTTAAAAGAGGGTAGGAATAGGGTTCAATTTGTGACTGAGAAGCCTTCTTAGATACTTACCACTCCACTGTCTTTGTTCGAGCTGGTTAGAATCTAATAATCATAGTTAGAGCGAATCTTCTTGTAGTAGAGATCCCAATGCTCCAAATGTAGTGTGTGGGTTATTTCACAGGTCCTTGGAAATATGACATTTTTAACGCCTTGTACGGATAATAACATCAAATGCTCCCATAATTGATTTGATGAGATAAAAGAAACTTGGTCTTTTCAATTTACTTTGTGTGGCCCAATAATTATATGAAAACTAAGCTGATTGTGGCCCAATGGGCAGCATAAGGAGTCAGTCCAAAAGGTTTATGTCGAACTGTGGAAATTCAATTCTCTTACCCTCTCGCACACTAAGCGCGTGCTTAGTCAAATCTTAAAACTGGGCGCGTGAGGAAAAAGTAACCGGCTTTTAATTATATATGTTTGGACTTGGGGTTTCAGAGAGCTCAATCCATTTTATTTATATATTTGGGATTAAAATGTTCATAAGCCCAAATAAAAAGCCCAAAATAAATCTAGTTGCTCGAACAAAATTAAAGAAAACACAAGCAAACAGATTCCAGTTTCGGTAAACAAAGTCAGAATCATAAGCAGAAGTACAAGGCTAAAAAGTTGAGATTAGCCTAAAGCGACCAAAGCGAAATATATAGTAAGCTAAAACTAAATCTAAGGACAAGGAATGATAAGGAAACCTCAAGATTCCCTTTTCAGATTGTTATTTGAGCTGGAACTGGAGGAGCCGTGTTTGAACCAGTCCTTGGCACAGAAGAGAGCTTCCAAGGTTACATGTGGAAGGGAGCTCCTGTAATTGTCCATCTTTTTCACCTCCGTGTCAAACACTGAATCCGGAGAGACGGTGCAAAAGGGTAGGGACAAAACATCAGCCGCCATCTTGGAGAGGGTAGGGTATTTGGTTCGGTTCAGGCTCCACCAGCCTAGAACCTCAAAGTCCTGTGAACGCGGCATCAGAGATTCCTCCAGGTATTGGTCGAGCTCTGATTTCATCTGTTGGTGACTACCTACCTCGGAGATGTAAAGCTCAAAGTCTGAGAACCCATCTCCAATGGTGATGAGGGGAAACTCCTGCGAAGATGCTTCAAGGTGGTGGCCTTCCTGGAGAAGGACGTCAACGTGGTGACCTTCTTGCGAGATTGTAAATGTGGCTTCTTCCTGCGGCATTGCATGTGATTGAGAATCATGGTGTGCCTCTTCTTCCTGTGGAATTGCATCTGATTGAGGATGTTGATCTGAGTCTGTACGTCCATCTGATTGCTGCTCTTGTTGTACAGCTTCCTCGCCTTCTCGAGAATACTCTTGGCAAAGTATACTATCAGGTTTTTGAAGGTTTTGGCTGTGTTCAGGAATTTGCTCCACTGGTTGTACCTCTTGTGCCAACTCCTCAACTGGCTGAGTGTCCTCTAGTATTCCCTCGACAACCTGTGTCTCATCTCCTGCACCCGCAACTGGCTGAATATCATTATGCTTTTCCTCCACCAGTGGTTCCTCCTGAGCCACTACACCAACTGGTTGAGTGTTTTCGAGTAAATCCTCCACTGGCTGCATCTCATGTCCTTCTTCCTCAAGAGAAGTAATGTTATGCTTCTCCACCTGTTGTGCCTCCTGAGCCACTTCCTCAACTGGTTGAGTGTCCTCCAGCATTTCATCCATTGGTTGCATGTCATGAGTTATATCCTTGTCGTCCACTGTCCGGCTCACATGTGACGTTTCTTCTTGCACCACTTCTTCAACAGGCTGAGTGTCTTCGACGATTTCCTCCATTGGCTGTGTCTCGGGCACTTTTCCTTCCCCCGGCTGGCTGTCTTGAGTCATATCTGTATCCTCCACATGATCTCTTGGTTTTTCATTCAGCTGATTGCCATCTTCAGACTGTTCATATACTTCTTCATGTGAAATTCCGTTTGATTGGTGGTACTCACGAGGCATCTCATTATGGAAGCGAACTTGAGACATATATGTTTCAGAAAAGCCATCATTTTCGTGGCCTATATACGCATCCAGCAGTGAGTGACTCTGTTCAGCATAGTCAAGGTACAACTCATGTACAGCATCATCAACACTCCTGATCCATTTATCTGCATCTTCTCCGTAAGCCTTAGAGAAACTAAACTCAATAAGCTTCATTTTGAAGCGCGGATCCATCACCACAGCAACTGCCAAAAGCAGGAAACATTTTCTCCAGTACTCGTCAAACTTCTCTTTCAATGGGTTAGCTAGGTTTCTAACGTCCGGATCTTCACTCATGGCTGTGTGGCTTAGCTCTAGCTGAAGCTTTGTCATTTCATGATAAAAATCATTTGCTGTCAATCGAGTTGAGTGAGTCAATACATTGGCTGCATCAAAAATAATCTTCAAACACGAGCAAAGAGACTCAATCTTTCTCCATTCTTCTGGAGATGTTGACAATTTATAATCAAGATCGCAGTTTCCCAGACAAGAAAATACTTCTTTGTGTTCGCAGGCAGCCACTAACATGTTGTAACTTGTGTCCCATCTTGTTTGGTAGTCAATGAGGAGATCTTTTGTAGAAGGGGTTTGAAGTTGTCTCTTCAGTTCATCAAACCTCTCTCCGCAACTGTCTTTAGTTTTCACATACTTAATACTATCGCGGACTTTCTTTATGGGTGCTTCAAGATCCTCAGCTCCAAGCAGATCTTGCGCCATACTGCTTAGGAGGCGAGCATAGCAGCTACCCAACAACAACTGACCGTTTAATACGTGCTGGTTCCTGGCCGACAAACAACATCTGAGGTTTTCAATAGAGGTTTTATTTACTACTGATTGCCCAACAGTGAGACTGCAAAGCCTTCTCTCAAGATTCCAGTCGGATAAACAAGCTGAAATAGGCTGATTTAGAGCAAAGTCAGAATCAGGAGAAGGAACGACAGCAACATTTAGAAGCCTGTGAGTTAAATTCCAGTCCCTATCAATGAAGTGTCCCGTCACGAAAGCATAACCAACTGACTGATTTGATGACCAAAAATCTACAGTAAGGTTAACTCGGCCAGGAATCTCAGAGATGAAGTTTGAAAGTTTTTGCTTCTCGGACAAGTAGATATTGACACAATCACCATGAATGGTATTGAAGCTTGGGATACTGAATTGGGGACGAAGGGACTGCACGAAACCAGTAAATCCGGAATGCTCGACCATGTGAAGGGGATAGTCATGCATGATAATCATCTTTGCCATCTGACTGTAGCAATGATCTTGATCAAGGGGGAAGTTAAGGTGTGTAGCAGAAGACCTCGGGCGTTTTTTGGGAGGAGCAGTGGTAGGATCTTTGGAGTCAAGGACATGTGGGAGCAGAGTGTTGTCTCGGGTCATAGGGCATATACCCAATTGAATGTGACGCTTAAGGTGGCTAGTTCCAGCCAACTTTTGGCCAGTAATGTAGGCGAATGATTTCTTGCAGTGTTTGCAGCAGGCTTTGGTAGATCCAGGGCTACAAGTTTCAATGGTGAAGTGCTCCCAGACCATAGACTTCTTCCTCCTGCGCTTGGCGGGTTCAGGGAGCAAGCCATCGTCAGTATCGGCATTAGGGAGATCCTTAGACAAAGCCATGCAAGTGACATCCATATGGGATTGGTCATCATCAATCTCCAAGGAGCCATTGTTATCAATCATCATCAAACAAAGTCCTGCAGCAGGGGACAAGAAATATAGATTCATCAGTATAAAAATATGTTGGCATAATGAATAAATTGGCTAGCATCATCACATCACTTGAGACCATTCAAAAACACAGGATTGAGTACTGAATAACAAATCGAGTCCACTTCATAATAGGATTCAACAGCAGAGAAGAGAAGATGGATTTTTATTTAAAAAGAAAAAGAAAAAAAAAAGAGATTTAGCAGCAATAATAATGTAGTTTATATAACAGAGATGCATAATTAGAGAGAATTATTAGAATATAAAACGGAAAACAGGCCGATTGAGAGGAGGAGATCTGACCTGAGAACCCAGACCGCGGGAGGAGAAAGAAGAGCAACTTTGAATAAGAGAGAGAGAGGAGGGAAACGACCAAGGGGCTAATGGGCTCTCTCCTCTTTCTTTTGATTGAAAATATCAAAACTGAGAGATTCGAGAGAGCTAACAACTAAAACTGTGTTTTGGACCTTCACTGCGGCTAGGGTTTTGAGTTTTTTTTTAGATTCGGCCTTTTTCTTTTCAGTTTCCTATATTTATGTATGTGCGTGCTATGCATACGATCAAAGAGGGCAAAAACGTTATTTACTAGTATAGAAGATCTCTGATCTTGCGTCCTACTTCTTTTTAATTCCTCTTTTCACTTTTTCTTTTCTTTTTTTTTAAAGTCGTCGTACGTGTCGCATTTAACACAATATGTAAGTGTAGCCTCCTTTTATCTTTCCCCCAATCAACAGACAATACATATGTAAATTAATACAGTTTTCCCGGAAGAAAAATAAATAAGAAAATCCGAACAAAAAAAAAAAAGAGGGTAAATAAAAGGATTGTTAGAAATGGGTTGGAAAAAGCAAGGATGTGCTGAGGAGAGATAGCCAAAGCGTCACTCAATTCAATTGTGTCTGCTCTCTGCTGGATCTCTCCTAATTGTTGGTCTGCCTAGATAGATAATAGAGAGATTGGATAACTCTTTGAGAATCCTGTTTGTAATTTCTTATGAATCATGTCATCATCACAAGTATACATTTACATTTAAGCCATTCTTGGAGACTTTTTGATCACCAACGGTTTATATATATATATTATTAGTAAGGTAAGCTCATCTTCTCTAAAAAACTTTAACCAAAACCAACTCGGAAAACCGGTTGTATCTGTACTACTATATTAAAAAAAAGGAGTAGGGGTAGAGGTAGAGCAGAACCGCCCTCTCTTCTCATAATCTGTTCTGTGCATCACACAAAATGGCAAAAACAAAAACATATAATATATTGTATTCTCTTCGCAAAAGACCCTCAGCTTAACAAATGAAACAATGAACATTACCACATTGGTACCATGAATGCAACTGACTAAAGCTTCCAACCAGGTCCGTCCTATTTAGTTGAAGATGAATCTATCTCTAGAGGTTATCTCTCAGCCATTTCAGAGCTCCATTTGCCACAGACCTACGTAAGTAAAAGCAAATGTTGCAGGACTGTGTTTCAGAAGATGACATTTATGTGCTTCAGATTTTAAGACCTTTGACTATTCACTATATATAATCAATCATTTCAAAACCATCGAAATCAAAGGAAACAAATCTCTTTCTTTTTTTTTTTCTTGAATTACCCTGCAAAATCTTTGATGTTCTTCCACAAGTCCTTCTCTTGCTCTGCTTCTTTATTTTCCTCCTTAACTTCATCTGTCCTGTTATCTGAGCTACTGGGTGCAGTGCTCAGAGCTACAAAACCATAGGTGGGCATACACATGAGGGGTTCCATCAATGCATACGTGTATCAAATAGTCTCCAATTGATGCACAAACATAAAATATTGGCATATAAACACAGACTCCTCTGCATTAGAGGTTTTTTCCAGATATTTGACAACTTACTACTGGGTTGCTGAGGCTTAGCACGAGTCCGTGACCGGTTGCTGGATGTGTCCTTCAGAGATGCAAGTTCCTCCAGTAACTCCCTTTCTCCAGCACTGTTCGTACGATCCAGAAAACCAATTGACAGAAGGCATCGACAGACTCACAAACCTTTGTTTGGCTTAGTTATATTGACCACAAGACAGGTTTAAATGGTAATACCTTATTTGATTTGGTATAGATACTTTCACTGTAAACAAGTGGTCACCACGGATAGACGGTCTATTCAGTTTCGGTACTCCTTTCTTTGCCAGGACCAGCACATCACCAGGTTGTGTACCCGGAGGTATCTGCAGTTCAGTGTCTCCTTCAACTGTTTTCACCTACAACGATGTTTTAGCTTTATAATAAGATGAATGGTCGATTCTGAGGATATCTACACGTACTGTGTACTTATTCGGATATCTGATACAAAGAACTAAATCACCTTAACAACCGCACCCAATATAGCATCAAGGTAACTGATCGAAAGTGTAGATATAAGGTTTATGCCATCTCTTTGGATTCCACGGACATCTTCAACATCAAGATATACATACAAATCTCCTGGAGGGCCTCTAATGGAAGCAGAGAGCCAATTACCAAAAAATCAGAACCATTAAGAATGCTATCACAGAAAAAAAATGGTTTTCTAACTGGTAATCAATTTGGTAATTATCTCAACATACCCTCTGGGACCAGAATCACCTTCTCCGGCAACTCTAAGGATGCTACCTGCACTGACTCCCGGGGGAATTTTGACTTTGATGCTTTTTTTAATACGCACACGTCCTTCCCCGGAACATTTCCGGCAATTTTCAGAAATCACCTCACCATCTCCACCACAGTTCGGACATATAGAAACCTAAGATGAAAGAGACCAAACATATATAAAAAACTATTAATAAGTTCAGCTATAGAAGGAAGGTAGTGTTATACAGTTACCAGCAAACACAAACTCTCACAATCAATGAAAACCAAAAAGTTCATAGCGAATTTTCACTTCTGTGCTTTCTACGAAACAGATTATTTTGAGGGAACTGTATATTGACATTAATCCTGACGCTCCAATCAGATGCCATTTCTGACATCAAGATTAATAACTGCAACAGAGAGAAAGTAAACAGGAAGGAAAGAAATCAACTGCATGGACCTGTGAAAACATGCCAAATGGTGTTTGCTCAGTTCTCATAACTTGACCTCTCCCACCACAAGTGGAGCATATCCTCATCTTAGATCCTGCTTTTGCCCCGGTGCCAGCACAAGCTTCACATGTCTCCAAATGTGTAAGATCAAATTCTTTCTCAGATCCAAAAATAGCCTCCGACAGTTCCAAAGTGATGTCATACCTAAAACACAACAGCAGCAAAAATGGAACTTTTTCACTTTTGGTGTTTGTCAAAAGTTATGCAGTTTATGAAGAGCAAGGAAAACTCCAAAAGAAAAAGCAAGTGAATGGACATACAGACACAACTCTCCTCCGCTCAGTCATTAAAGCTCATGCAAGTAGAAAGTTTGTGTGACATGGTAAGTTAGGAGACGCTAACAATATTTATAAGTAAATCATAATAGTATCTTATCAACAAAAGGCCATGATGCTGTTATTAAACCAGAGAATAAAGAAGTTGTTTTCTAGTTAAAAACAAAACTCACCGTAAATCTTCACCTTTGGTAACCCTACTGCGGCGGGGTCTCCCAAAATCAGCTTGGTCCATCCCGGGAAATCCACCCATACTCGCACCAAAGAATGTTTCGAAAAGGTCAAAGGGGTTTGTCTGGTTGGAGATGTAAGAAAAAATATGTTACAAGCACATGAGCTGACGGAAAATGCTATACAATCAGCAAGAGAAGGAAGGCATTAATTGTGCCTAAGATGCAGAGTCATGTTCATGATTAAGCATAGACGGGAAACAGATAATGTGTTACCGTGTAAGTACCAGAAGCTCCTCCTACTGTACTCTTGACTCCGGCTTCACCATATTGATCATACAATGCTCTCTTTTGCTCATCTGATAGCACCTGACAGTTTTGTAGTTAAGAGTAAAAACAGGGAAAATAAACTGAGAACTTATTCCAGCTCTATTGTAAAAAAACAAGGCCATGTAATAATGGATTCTGATGCAAACTAAGTAGATAACAGGTGACAAGGAAAGTGCCCAGATATGGCCATAGGATCAAGAAGACATGAAGGTGAATCGAACTGGGGAACTTAGCTTTTGGAGCATACCTCATAGGCAGCACTGATTTCCTTGAACTTTTCGGTTGCTCCAGGTTCCTTGTTCACATCGGGATGATACTAGATAGAAATCAGTAGAGAGTTGTAGCTCAATAGAGTTAAAAAGAAAACTCAAATAATAATCATAGCCATGTTCTCACACACTCTCTCTCTCTCTCTGAAACTCAAACTTAAATCCGAAACCATTACACAGGCTCAAAATATCATAAATAATAGAATGATCGATCAGGTTGCCAGACCGTAAGAAACAGTTGTAATGTCACCTGACGAGCGAGCCGTCGATACGCAGCTTTAATCTCCTTGTTATCAGCAGATTTAGGCACACCAAGAGTGGCGTAGTAGTCTCCGGAAGCAGCAAACACGACGAGAGAAGGGCGAGAGAATCCCCGTCGATTTCGATTAGGCGAAGAAACGGATAAGAAGCTCTTGTGATACCTGAGACTTGTACCGCCGTCCGGAAAGGCCGAGAAATTATTACAAGAAAGGGAACGTGGACCATCGGCGGAAACGGCGAAGCAGAGAGAGGAGGGGATGAGGGAGGGAGAAGCGAGGGCAGCCATTAGAGACGACGAGGGTGAGGGGAACAAAATTGGTCGACGGAACGAGCTTCTCAGCGGGGAAGCTTGGCAACGGACATTGTTGAGACTTGAGATGATTCCCACACTTCGACTGCCCCCAACAACAAAAAAAAAAAGAAATTCGGAATTTGTGGTGCCAACCTCACTCACGTGGATCTCTTTTTCTTTTTCCTAATTTATCTCGACGGTGTCTTCCATACGGGTAATTTCAGAAAAACCAGATACAAAAACCAATCGCTTCGTTGTTCGTATACATTAAAATAAAAATAAAAAAATAATGTCAATCATCATATATTTCCATTGATCCGGTTGGAATTTACACGAGTTGTCAAGCCAAGTTTCAGGAAGTCGAAATCATGGGGACAGCACAATATTGTCTCCGGCTCTCCACTAATGTTCAGAGTTATACAGCCCTATACCAAAACACAACTTTGATTTCCATATTAATGCGCCCGAGGAACAGACAAACAAACAGCAGCAAAGAGAAGCACAAGTATAAAAACTAAGCCAAAGGAAGGAAACTGATGTTTGTCCCGGACTACACAGTAATACCAATGCAAAAGCACTTTTTTGTTTTTGTTTTTCTAGTCTGATCTCTCTCTCTCTCTCTCTCTCTCTCTCTCTCTCTCTCTCTCTACTTGCGTTTATTTTCGCCTTCTCCTCCTGCAAGAGTCCTCCTTTCCTGGAGAGCTTTTTAGAAGACGTCCGGATTGAATCTTCCTGGCATGGAGTTGCCATGTTCCACTTGCTGCAGCTGCATTCTTAAAGCGTAGTTGTTCACCTGCAATTTTTTTATCATTCACTCTCTATTTATAAGGCATCAAATTAATCTTCAAACAAACAATTTTTAGGCAATAGCAAGAGATACGTATAAGCTCTTTTAAGGCTCACCTCCAGAGTTCTGAGCTTTTCCTGGTACTGAGGAATCAGGTGTTTCAAGAGTTCTAGCTGCTGGTTCGCATCTTCAAATGCTTTCTGCCGCTCATGCTGGATAGCAACTGCACGTTTGAGGACTGTGTTGTCCTTGATCAAGGCCTCCACTTGTTGCTGCACGACCACTTTCTCCTGTAACATCAGAAGAGGCTGTTCATTTTTATACACGAGATACCAAAAATCCTATAAATAATTTACTGAGTGGATCATTTCCTTATATAACAAGGAAGCTCAATAAGAAGTAACTAATGGTTCAGCCTAGCAACCCAGAGCTTGATATTGTAATCTAGGGCTCAAAGAAGTTGATAGCGAGCAGCATGTATGCAGAAGGTGCATAGTTAACTATATTATTCTGAATGGAACGCATAAGAACGATACTTGGGAGTTATTTCAACGCTGATAAATGCTTAACCTCTTGGAATTTTTTGCCTGCTTCTTCAGTAGCACGTGCACTTAACATCTTCTCCAAGGCCTCAAGGACTCTGGAGGCACGTAGTTTAGCATCATCTGTACCAGTAGATTGAGTAACTTCCCTCACCAACAATTCAACCCAGTCATCACCACTGGCCGGGGGATTGTCTGTAGGCGTATAAGAGGCAGCATCAGATTCCGCAATAGCATTAGCGGTCAATTCTTCAGCTTTCTTCTGCTCAGCGGACACCAAAGAGTGTAAGCTTTTCATGGCAGCATTTAAATCACTGGCATGTTCTTCTAGAGCCTTGACAAGAACCTGAATAAAAATTTAAGTTGAAAATCTAATTAAATTTGTCAGCTAAAAGAGAAAATAGCAAACTGCACAGGACGGAATTGACTTGGAATGAAATAACGAAATTCGAGGCTGCGAGCGAAGACAGGAAATTGGCGTCTAAGAAAGCCTAGTAGCAGAAGGGCGAAAAGGTAAAGTTAGATCTAGATGAAAAAAAGAAGAAGAACAAGTACCGTGAGGTCAAGGTGAGGAAACGCAGTGCGAAGCTGATCGAGCGAAGAGGAAGGAGAGGACCAGATCGGAGAATTGGAAGGAGAAAAACATCGGAACCTCTTAGAAGAAGAGGGGGGAGAAGGAATATCATCGAAGTAAGATCTCTTGGTTCCGCAATAAACGGCAGACATGGCTGGAAAACAACCAAAGAAGGAGAAGATGATAGATTCGATCCAAGCGATAAAATTAAAGGGTTTGGGGGATGAAGAAGAAGAAGACTCTGAGCGATCTCCGAAGAGACTAGATGGGAGGGGAAGAGAAGGAGGTTTTGGAATCGTATCGAATCTCTAAAATCTAATCTAATCGGGTTTTTTTAGGTTTTCTTTGACTTACAGGCCAGGCCAGCCCAGGATCCTTAATTTTTCCCTTTTTATACACTACAAACAACAACTAAGTACTGTATTAAGTATTAACCAAGCGGCGGGGGCTTTTCCGTACTTTCATTAATCAACATGGGCGCTCCCCCTCCCACCCCAGCTAGGCGTTTCTTTTTCTTGTCTTTCAAAAAATGTATTAATAGAAATTCCCTATTTTCACCCTTGGGCCCTTGGCGTTGTATCTCTGCTACATCAATTACCATGGCAAACTGTCTGACTCTTCAAATTTTTTTTACCAACAAAGTAAATTAAAACGTGGTGCTTGTTTGCTAACATTTTCTCCTTCCTACGTATTCCAATTTTTACTTAAACCGCCCGTTTTTATTTTTAACACATTCTCCAATACAACAATAGACAATACCCAAACTACAATAAAAAGCTTTGAACTAAGGCGAGCCACATGGATGCAGTAGTAGAATATATATATATATATATGTATAACCAATTATTTCCCCCCTTGCAAGATCATTTTTGTCATAATCGTTGATATTACATAACCACCACCACCACCCTATAGAAGAAGAAAAAGGCTTTATAAGGCTAACTCATCAAACTGGCTTGGTTCCACCAGAACGTACAACGGCTTTCCCTTCAGCTTACACTGCCCCTCCTGTCCTGTGCATGGCGGATAATACGAGTTGTTGTTATTATTATCTATTTGTTTAATGGGCCAATAAGGCCCGGCCAGTCAGAATAAAACTCAAAAATAGTTTATTGGGTCCGAATTTAAAAAAAGACCAGTAATTTATATATTGTACCTTAAACTTAGGCACACCAACAACGCATGCACATTCTACAACTTCGGCCCCAGCGCGCTCTAAAAGAAGTGCATGCATATATGTATAGAGAGATAGAGAGAGAGAGAGAGAGAGAGAGAGAGAGAGAGAGAGAGAGAGAGAGAGAGAGGCTCGTTATTAGTTCAACAGCACTCGGTAATAGACATATAGTGTTTGTTTTATCTTTTCAAAAGGCGTTTTTATTTTACATTCAAATCATCTTCTTTAACATTAATTACTCTAATATTCGTTTTCTAATATTCAACAAATTAAAATAAATAAATTAGATAGGAGAAGAGAGATATGTATATATAGTTTAATAGAGAAGAGTAATATATTACCCAAGAGGTTAATGGAAGCGGAGAGTGTGCCACCAGTGGCAACTAAATCGTCGATGATGAGAGCTCGTTCATCGTATTTGACAGCCTCCACACTTATCTCTAGACGATCACTTCCGTACTCTAGCTCGTACTCTTCGCTTATTACTCTCCCTTTTGTTTTTTGTTTTTTACCAAATATAACCACATTAATATTAACAAATCAAATCCAATTCGACCACAATGATCTTCTTTAAATTATGATTCGACCGTCACGTTTTACTCTGATCATGCATGTAATGTGTATACAAGTGATCGTACCGGGTAGTTTTCCCGGTTTGCGTAGTGGAACGAACTTGGCACCTATGGCTAATGCGATGGGAGGTCCAAATATGAATCCCCTCGCCTCAACTCCTGCATTATCGCATCAATTTTATATCTTATGTTTATTATTTATTATATTGATTGGTATTATATTATCCAGCGAAAACAAGTTTTAGAAAAGCATTTTAGTTTCAAATTGAGAAAAATGAAAAGGAAAAAGAAAAACAAAGGATATCACTAACGACAAGATTAAAAAAGGGGATGAGTAATTAGTCACCAACCACACTAGAGACAAGTTAGTGTAAAAATCATTCATCCATAAAAGTTGTCTATTTGTTTATTCAAAGTCTTTTCATATTTGAAGATATATTTTGCCTTTTCAAGCTAAATAATTTGCGGGTGGTGTGTGTCTCTTTAAAAAAATAAAATAAAAAATAAAAACTAAATATATATATAGAGCTACTTATTTTTTTTTATTTTGGGGACAAACTAAGCTAGTTACTAAAAGAAGAAAAGGTAAAGTATGGATTGCTAGGTAAGGTTAAAGAAGGGAAAGGGGAAAGGAACCAGCAACGAGAGAGATGTGCATGTGCTTGTAACGATCAACGAAGATATCAATGACATGTTTGAAGGCGACTGGATCCAGCAGCAGAGTTGTTATGTCCTGAAACATGATCCCTGCGACGTGTACAAACACATCTACTCTTTTTTAAGTATAAGTTATAAGCGAAAAGAAAGGAACCAAATTAAAAACGAAAAACACACGTAGAGAAAGAAAGAAAGAAAGGACCAGTTTTAGGGAAGTGAGGGATGACTCGAATGGCGTCGGAGATGACCTTTAATCTTGGGTCTCCCTGCAACCCATTCTCCACGGCAAACATCTCTCACTCGTGCGTGCGTGTGTGTGTCCAAGAAGAAGAGAGAAATTAATGGGTTATTTATAGGAGTGCATTTATGTATCACTCTCTATCTCTTTCTCACATTTTCCTCGTACGTCTCCATCCAAAGCTATTATATTTTTATTTTATTTTTAATATATATATATATATATATATATATATATATATATTTGAGTGTTTTTGAGTTGTTGTGACAAATCCAATCCGGATCGATGGAGAGTGTAGGGAGCGGGTAAAACAAACGAAGCAGAGAAAAAAAGAAAGGGGATAAAACGAATATAGTTCTTCGAAAGCCAAATAAATAACGTTGGAATATCTCTTTTCAACGTTAGAGAGATTTGATTATTAATAAAAATAAAAAATAAAATAAAAGACGTTTACGAGTAGTGCCCCGCCATCTATTTCGACTGTTGAAGCGCACGCCTGCGCACACTCCACTCCCTATATCCCCCTTTTTTCCCTAATCATTCGTTATTGCTTTAGTTAGTAACTTAGTATAGTAAAAAGGATATAATACCAATTTTTCAAATAATGTTTATGATGAAGGATACCAATCTTATTCCCCCACACACTCTCTATCTATGCCGCTTCTAACCCGAATTATTCTATTGTGTGTTTAGGATTTCGTTTAGATATTCCGTTTGTCGTTTCTTTAAGCTCAGCACTACTTCTGTCCCATAATCCTTCGTATATTACTAGAACAATGAGAGCAGCAGGATAGTAACAGTAGTGCTCCTGCTCCATAAATAATATTATAATTGGACTAGCTTTTGGATATTTCCGGATTCTAAGTTACTAGTAGTTAGCTCATGTAATGTTGAACCAAAATATCAACCAACAGAGATGAATGAATAGTCCAATATTCAAAACCAATATCAACAGATTATTTACCCTTTCTCCACTCCACTAGTCGGTTTTTAACCAAAAAACTATAGTACTCTATATCTTATGCTTTTCATTATGATTTCATCTAAACTTCTAACCATCTTCTCTACTTGGTCAGTTTATTTCAACATCTTGAAAGGATTATTGGTTTCAACGACATCAGTATTAATCTTTGGTTTTACATAAAACAACACTTTAAATCATATGAGCCAAAAAAAAAAGAGAGAGAATGCGTGTACCGCACAAATATCTTTCGTGCAGTTCATTTCAAAAGAGACAAACAAGGACACCAAATCTTGGGAGGACAATCACTACCCAAGATCTCCTCTTCCTCTCTTTCACTTACTTCCATCTATTTTTTTCCATTTTTTTTTTTGTTTTTCAAAAGTTGGAAAGACAGGGACTTGACCATGTGACTCTGTGCTCTCCTCTAACAGTGACATCAACAACTCTAATCAAAATGGGAATCAATCAGTGATCCCACTTCCTTGCGTTTTCTTTAAAAAAACTCTTGGCAGATAGTGTAACTTTTTATATTGCACAATGCCTCTCACCTTTTCATGTTACAGTCCAGTGCATGCAGGACAATAAGACTATTACACATTTAATATTACTAGATTAGACCCAGCAAGAGAGAGATTAGTCCCAGCAGATATCCATCGATCCCTCATTCCTATTTCTTTACAAAGTAGAATCCTGACCTGTAACAACCTCAGTGGCTCTGCCTTTGGAGAGATTACTTTATATTGAGTTGTATACTCTTCGTGGATGACAAATTGCAGGAAAAGATCGAGAATGAAAGTCTTTCTGAGCCTTGCTATGGTTTGACACTCGCTCTCTTCTTGTGCAATTGCTTCCACGATTTCTGCATTTTTTTTACTTTACCAGCCAATCAACCAAATCCAAAAAAAAAAAAACAGAAAACTATTTTATGAAGACAAGAACAAACCTTTACTCTCGGCCAAAAATTTATCCGATCATTAAGAGTCAAATTTCTCCAAGAGTGTTTATAATATCAAAAAGACAATGCCCTACGAGTGGGTTCTTCGCTTTCTCAAGATGTATAAGGAAACAATATTCTCAAGCTTCTAGCAACTTGTGAAAGTCTTGACTAGCTTACATATAATAGTAATTCAATGAGATTCTGGTCCATTGGTGGTACAAACTTGAAAAATAAAAAAAATAAAATACTAGGAAGGTTTCAATCGTCTTTCTAAGAAGAATCATTTAAAATCATAAAATCATGTGAACCATGGCACCCATTGAATCCAGATTGTCAGTAAGTTAACTTCATACAAATAGAAGCATGCAAATATGACAACGATTGACAGATTATTTACATAACAAGGCAAAAACAGATGATCATACGCTAGTGGAGGGGCGGGGGTCATTCTTAGATTCTTGGTTGGAACTTAGGTTTGGCCAGCAAAATGGTGACGCCAATTATCGGGCTCAGTAGGTTGCTAGTACAGGTTAAACCATTTTCAGCCTGAATAAGGTTTACCGTGCCATGTTACTCTGAATTAACACATACTCAACTTATTATTGTCGTATTACAAATCAGCTCATCTTACTAGAGTGTTCTAAACTGAAAATACGCGAATAAAAACGCACCTTGTTTCAGCTTTCATAATGCATGAAGAAAAATTATAGATATGAAAATCGTAAAAAACTATGGATATTTTGATACAATCCTGGACAGATCACTGAAAGAAAGGAGGAAATTGAAAAGGGGAGAGAAGAAGAGGTTGTGACTTACAGTTTTACATCTTGGGCCTGCCACCGTAATGCTTCAAAGAAAATCTGGAAGGACCACTGCGACTCTCATTTCCTGCTCTGGACACACCCCAACGTCCAGCATAGGGCAACCATCCTTTAATTAGGTTCGCTAGTCTGAATTCTGCTGCCGGTAACTCGTCTTGTGCTCCTGGATAACACTTCTCAGCTACATCCTCTACACCGTTCTGGTTTTGGCTTTGTATTTGGATTTTGTTGGCGTTGGAATCCCCTTCCAACCTACCATAAATGGCTTTCTTAAGCAGAGCACTGAATAGAAGAGACGGCAAGGGCAGATTGTTACTTACTCAAGGTAGCGCTTGCAACTCAGGCTCTTGGATCTTTTGTTCATAGGAGAGTGGTCTATCGACAAATGCCTTACAAAATGTAACTGAAATTAGAGTGAAAGGGATCTCAGTGAAAATGGATGCTGCATAGGAGGAGTCTTATATATACAAGTGAGAGGGAGAAATACGAACTTGATCACCATCATTGAGACCGAGATAACGGATGCTACTTTTGTCATTGAGTAATCTCTGGTCGCGATAACACAAGCAAAAATGACCCCAGACGTGGGACCTGTAGGCGAAGAGCAAAGTGAAGGACTGCATCAGATAGCTTTTAAGGAGTGAGAATCTCCAAGTTTCATATACACTGATGAGATGTACCATGAAATCCTGCCGTGACCTTCCAGGGGAGAAATGTTGAATACTTGCTCCACAGCTCTTTTGAGCTCTGCCACGGAGCAATCCTTTGCGACTTCCACATCTGCTGAATCGTTGGAAACCGATTTCACTTGTTGAGAAATCACTCTACGAAGCCGAAATTAGACTGTAGGTCTATCCAACAATGATTTCAAATTTCAAACCGCAACAACAAATTCCAGACTCACAATAGAAACCATTAGGGTATCACCAACTATCTGAGGTTTTTCTCTAACGATTTATGTAAGCAAAGCACAGAGAGAAACTAAACTACTTGACTCTGCAATCGAAACTGGAGAAGCAAAATCGTACCGAAAAGGGAACCGTTGAGCTTAACGACGGAAAGCTTGATACGACCCTGAGGAGGAAGTTTCAGGTAGGAAGATCTCCGTCCAGAAATCGAACCACCGTCGTTTAAAGCAAACGATGACAAGAAGCGTGGCTCTATCAACGACCTCAGTCCTCCACTTCGACGACCTGGGTTATGTTCCTCTCGCATTGCCGCTTCTCCCACCGCCACTGACTACTGACAAGTTTCTGCTCTTCAGGTGTCGTTTCAGAGTCGCCGGAATCGGGAAGAGTTTGTTTGTTTGTTTGTTTTACGGGAAAACGCAGTTTCCTGCATTCTATTATCTCTCTATATAGTTCCCCGATAAATGCCAAAAAGTAAATAAAATTGTGATCTATGGGCACATGAATCACGGCCCAACGCTCATAACCAAAGGCCCATTAACTTGATTCGATTATCAGTGACTCTAGTCCATTAAGCGAGTTTGGATAACCGCCTAAGCATCTGTTCGACACCGCCTGATTTTTTTGTTTTTCCCTGTATTAATGTTAAATTTTGTTTATGTAAAAAACTACATACCTCCTCTCCGAGTGCCGATATATTTTAAGGCCGAACGAGGAAAAAGAAACAAAAAAAAAAAAGAAGCGACCCACCAGAAAATGTTTTAGGGTTTTTCTTTACTCGATTAAGCTCACTAGTTCTTCGCATCGTAAAAAGAGATCGACTCTGGCGCGGTGGATTTAGGGTTTCTTCCTCCGCGACTACTTCCCGGCGTTTCGATTTCGAGCCCTAAGCTATGTGGAACAACGATGGTACGCCCTTAGCTCCTCCTGGTACCGGTGGCTCCATGATGCCTCCACCTCCCGCTGCACATCCTTCTTACACGGCGCTTCCCCCGCCTTCTTCTAATCCGACCCCTTCGGCGGAGCCTACTCCTGAGGAGGCGGAGGCCAAGCTTGAGGAGAAGGCCAGAAAATGGATGCAGCTTAATTCGAAACGCTACGGCGACAAGAGGAAGTTTGGATTCGTGGAAACTCAGAAGGAGGACATGCCACCGGAGCACGTCAGGAAAATCATCAGGCGAGTTTTCTTTCTCTACGATTTCGAAATCCAGTTCCCTAGGCTCCAAGATTTCTATGATTTGGTTAGGATTTACTTGGATTGAGTCACTGAAACTGCGATTTCTTCCTTTCTTTCTTCAGGGATCATGGTGATATGTCATCCAAGAAATTCCGTCACGACAAACGTGTATACCTTGGAGCCCTTAAGTTCGTTCCGCACGCTGTTTTCAAGCTCTTGGAGAATATGCCTATGCCTTGGGAGCAGGTTATTTTCTTTTTTACCTTTAAGTTGTTTCTCCAGCTATTCTCGTCGTCTATTCATTTATCTAAATCCCCATTTTTTTTCAGGTTCGAGACGTAAAGGTTTTGTACCACATCACTGGAGCTATTACATTTGTGAACGAGATACCATGGGTCGTGGAACCTATTTACATGGCTCAGGTGGGTGATTAGTCTCGCTCTTTTTTTTTTTTTTGTTTCTTCTGTGCGTTGATTCATGCTTTTGAGTGATGCTTATTCCATTCTGGTCGTGCAGTGGGGTACTATGTGGATTATGATGCGAAGGGAGAAGAGGGATCGTCGTCATTTCAAGAGAATGCGGTTTCCACCATTTGATGATGAGGAGCCTCCACTAGACTATGCAGACAACTTGTTGGACGTGGATCCTCTTGAGCCAATTCAGTTGGAGCTGGATGAGGAAGAAGATTCTGCTGTATACACTTGGTTTTACGACCACAAGCCCCTAGTTAAAACAAAACTGATTAATGGTCCCAGTTACCGGAGGTGGAACCTCTCACTTCCAATTATGGCAACCCTTCACAGGCTTGCAGGCCAGTTGCTGTCTGATTTGATTGATCGCAACTACTTCTACTTGTTTGACATGCCATCTTTCTTCACAGCAAAGGCTCTGAACATGTGCATACCTGGTACGCTCTTTTCCTTCTATGCTCCAGTTATTTTTTTCTCTGCAGATCCGTTTCCTTTGTTCTTTTCTAATGCATTCTGGTAATCTTTTCCAGGCGGACCTAAGTTTGAACCTTTGTACCGTGATATGGAGAAAGGAGATGAAGACTGGAATGAGTTTAATGACATCAACAAGCTTATCATTCGTTCCCCTCTGCGAACTGAGTACAGAATAGCTTTTCCCCATCTCTACAATAATCGGCCCAGGAAAGTCAAACTCTGTGTGTATCACAGTCCTATGGTTATGTATATCAAGACCGAGGATCCTGATCTTCCTGCATTTTATTATGATCCGTTAATTCACCCGATAAGCAACACTAACAAGGAAAAGCGTGAAAGGAAGGTTTTTGAGGACGATGATGAGGATGACTTTGCCTTACCAGAAGGCGTGGAACCTTTGCTAAAAGATACTCAACTCTACACTGACACTACAGCTGCTGGCATTTCATTGTTGTTTGCCCCACGACCTTTCAATATGAGGTCTGGAAGAACACGTCGGTCAGAAGATATTCCCTTGGTGTCAGAGTGGTTCAAGGAGCACTGGTAAGCTATTTGCTTTGTTCTACTTTGGGTCTCTTTGCCTTTTGAAATTTACTTGTGAGTGTCCTAATACATTTTGTGAACTCATTAATTGCAGTCCTCCAGCCTATCCGGTTAAAGTTCGGGTTAGTTACCAAAAGCTATTGAAATGCTATGTTCTGAATGAGTTGCACCATCGACCACCTAAAGCTCAGAAGAAGAAGCACTTGTTTCGATCTCTTGCAGCTACAAAATTTTTCCAAAGTACCGAACTGGATTGGGTTGAAGTGGGTCTGCAAGTCTGTCGGCAGGGGTATAATATGCTGAATCTATTAATTCACAGAAAGAATTTGAACTACCTGCATCTTGACTACAACTTCAACCTCAAGCCTGTGAAAACTTTGACCACCAAAGAGCGTAAGAAGTCACGTTTTGGGAACGCTTTCCATCTCTGCCGTGAGATCCTCCGTCTGACAAAACTTGTAGTTGATGCAAATGTCCAATTCCGACTTGGTAATGTTGATGCCTTCCAATTGGCTGATGGTCTGCAATATATTTTCTCTCATGTTGGCCAGTTGACGGGTATGTATCGTTATAAATACAGACTGATGAGGCAGATTAGGATGTGCAAGGATTTAAAGCACTTGATATATTACCGTTTCAATACTGGTCCTGTGGGTAAGGGTCCAGGGTGTGGGTTTTGGGCTCCAATGTGGAGGGTATGGTTGTTTTTCCTTCGGGGAATAGTTCCTCTTCTTGAAAGATGGCTAGGGAATCTTCTTGCACGTCAATTTGAGGGGCGTCATTCAAAAGGAGTGGCCAAAACAGTCACAAAACAGAGAGTGGAAAGTCATTTTGATTTGGAACTTCGAGCTGCTGTCATGCATGACGTCCTTGATGCCATGCCAGGTTTCCATTCTTAGAAACTTGTTTTTCCTTGTGTTTATCAACAATGGAATTGTTTTGCTTTATTCTATCGTTAACATTTTCCGCTAATGTGCAGAGGGTATCAAGCAAAATAAAGCGCGGACTATATTGCAGCACCTTAGTGAGGCATGGCGGTGCTGGAAAGCTAATATCCCATGGAAGGTCCCTGGTTTACCTGTTCCAATCGAGAATATGATCCTCCGTTATGTCAAGTCAAAGGCTGATTGGTGGACGAATGTTGCTCACTATAATCGTGAGCGTATCCGAAGAGGGGCTACTGTTGATAAGACAGTTTGTAGAAAGAATCTTGGAAGGTTGACTCGTCTTTGGCTAAAGGCAGAACAGGTCTGTTTTATTGTCTTAATGAATTTATCATTTTTGTTTAAACAACATTTTATGAAATGACTTTATATACTAATTCATTATCCTTGTAAAACTATTACAGGAACGACAGCACAATTACCTGAAAGATGGTCCGTATGTCACTCCAGAAGAAGCACTTGCAATTTATACTACAACTGTACATTGGTTGGAGTCAAGGAAATTTTCTCCGATTCCATTTCCTCCATTGTCTTACAAACATGACACAAAGTTGCTCATCCTTGCCCTTGAGAGACTGAAGGAATCATATAGTGTAGCTGTGAGGTTGAACCAGCAGCAGCGAGAAGAGCTCGGTCTAATTGAACAAGCTTATGACAATCCTCATGAAGCTCTATCACGAATAAAACGTCATCTTCTCACCCAACGTGGCTTTAAAGAGGTAAACTTTTCACTCTATATTGAAGCAATGGATTGACATAGGTCTTCAATGTCACCGTAGTAAAGTAATGATGAATACGTTTTGTCTGCAGGTTGGCATAGAGTTTATGGATCTATATAGCTACTTGATTCCAGTTTATGAAATAGAGCCTCTTGAGAAAATTACCGATGCCTATCTTGATCAATACTTGTGGTACGAAGGGGACAAGCGCCACTTGTTTCCAAACTGGATTAAGCCAGCAGACTCAGAGCCTCCCCCACTTCTGGTTTATAAGTGGTGTCAAGGTATCAACAATTTGCAAGGCATATGGGACACAGGTGATGGGCAGTGTGTGGTGATGCTCCAAACTAAGTTCGAAAAATTCTTTGAGAAGATCGATTTGACAATGTTGAACAGGTACCTATCTCATTAATGCTTTATTCATTATAAACACTGAGGCACTACTTCCTGGAGTAATAATTATTTTGTGTTGTTTCTTACAGGCTTCTTCGTTTGGTTCTTGACCACAATATCGCAGACTATGTGTCTGCCAAGAATAATGTGGTCCTGTCTTACAAGGATATGAGCCATACTAACTCGTATGGTCTCATTAGGGGACTCCAGTTTGCATCGTTTGTTGTGCAGTTTTATGGTCTTTTGCTTGATCTTTTGCTTCTTGGTTTGACTCGAGCGAGTGAAATTGCTGGACCACCTCAAATGCCTAACGAGTTTATGACGTTTTGGGATACAAAAGTGGAGACACGCCATCCCATAAGACTCTATTCTCGGTATATAGACAAAGTTCATATCATGTTTAAATTTTCCCATGAAGAGGCTCGGGATCTTATTCAGCGGTATCTTACGGAGCATCCTGATCCCAACAATGAAAATATGGTGGGATACAACAATAAGAAGTGCTGGCCAAGAGATGCGAGGATGAGGTTGATGAAACATGATGGTATGTTCTTTCTTTATATATAATCCGACTGACTATTATTTATGCATAACATGTGTGTCTCATATATTTTTCCTCTTTCAGTCAATCTTGGCAGAAGTGTCTTTTGGGACATGAAGAACCGTCTT